CCACTAGACACACAGGGGAGCCCCAGGGCACTGGTGCAGGGTGCAGCTTGGGCAGCTGCTTCCAGCCCCCCATCAGCTCTCTGTGCTGATCTGCCTGGACCTGGCAGGTCCATCCTGGGACCCTGCTTCAAGGACAAGTGTCTTGGTCTCCTCTGGGTGTGAGCCCTGCCCTGGGCCTGCAGTGGCTGGCAGAGGTGGGTGGGGGAGGCCGGGTCTCCATGCTGGGAGCAGCAGGAGGAACAGGTGACAGAGATTTTTGCAAATAAAATTAGAGCCCTGAATCTCCAGAACCCGGAAAGGCTATGATCTCAGGTGTTAGAAAACACTTAGAACTGAACAACGGCAACACCTGTTCCTGCCAAACTCCACGAGATCTGTGTTTAGAGGGAATTTATTGTTTAAATTGATGTCCTGGGAAGTAGAATCAGAGTGAGTTGTCTCAGCTTCTAGTCCAAGATTTTAGGGGAAGTACAGAGTTGTTTGAATGAAGTAGAAGGAAGAAGACTAAAGTGGAAATTAATGAAATTGGAAATGAAACAAACGGGATGGAGCTGAGCCTGAGAGGCTTCCACGCTGGGCGCTTCCTCCCTGCCCACCCCGTGTGGGTCACTCCTGTGCCTGGCTCCGAGTCCCGTGCCTCCCATGGCAGGCAGCCTCCCACACCTGCACTTGGGTCTCCTTAGCTTCCCGCTGAACTCTCAGCTCCTGAAGCAAAACCTCAGAGGGTTCCCCGCTCACACGCTGGAGCAGGCGTGAGTGAACGCCCCAGATTTCTCCACCCTGGCACTCTGTGAGCTCTGTCTCCAAGGTCAGCACCACTGTCCCAGTCACCACTGTCTAGCTGGCCCCTGTGGCCTTCTGCACAGCTCTGCCATGATCCTGGGGTGACCAGGGCACCCTGCATTCACGTTGGAGCTGGCGCTGCCCCTGGGCACAGAGCCCGCCTGGGGTGGGACTGCAGGCACTGGTGAGGTGGATAATCAGGGAGAAGACCAGGCCCCAGGGTCTGGGGCTTTGGGACTTGGGTCTCCTCTGGCCTGGGAAGACCCTGTGAGCTGGCTGAGCCCTGACGTTACCCACACTGGGTCACAGGCAGAGGGACAGTGCAGGTGGGCAGCCGCTGCCCTGAGACCCCAGAACAGCTGGGTCCAGGTGAGCAAGGTGTGTAGGGAGGGCAGCAGGTGGACCTCAGTGGTCTGAGTTAGGCACCTGCAGGCCAGGGTCCCCCATACAGCTCCTCTGGCTCCCTGAGACTACACTGCCACACCATTGCCTGTCTAAGGACACAGCATAGCGTGCAGGCCCTAGGGGTGCACCCCACACCCACCAGGGTGACCTGATCTGACTGATCATATCTGCAGACCCCACTTCAAGTCAGGGCACACAGGCCTGAGAGTTGGGGGATGGGGCCTGTGGGTGTCCACACGCCTATCTGTCTCTCCTGGGAGCTGTGTGGCCTGGGAGCAGGCCCAGGGCCAGGCGGGTTTATTCCCAGCCCTGGGTCCTGGCTCTAGATGGGACATCACAGATCAGTGTCCAGCACTGGCCCTCAGTGCACCGGGGTAGGGGGACGGGGATGGGTATGGGAAGATGCAGCAGGTAACAGGCGGGTGACAGGTAGCCTCTGACCCCACAGTCCAGGGCCAGCTGCCCAAGTGCCTCGAGGGCCCTGTTCCCCAGTGGGACCCAGCCACTCCACATGTGCAAGGGGAGCCATGTGAGGGGCTGGACAGGGAGACTCCTTTGCTGAGATGGCTCTGCTCCTGCGCTGTGGTCTGTGGGCCCCACTGGGGTCTGGGGCCGCTCCCCAGCGATGATCCTGGTCTCCATCATGTCCGCACTATCCTTGACCACTGGCACAGTGCACCCACAGGGCCTGAGATTTTGATGGCAGCACCTTGGGCGGAGCCGCTGCCCCATGGAATACAGCATAAAGTGCGGCAGGGGCACGCACAAGACAAGGCTCCTGAGTGAGGGCGGCCTCCACGTGTAGCTGCTCAGCAGCCTGGGACAGCAGGAGGCCAGGTCGGCACCCAGGGTGCAGGCATGCAGGGTGGGGGGTGCGGCAGAGACAGGTGAGGACAGACATTCGAAGCAGTAGAAGGCATGCGGACCCTGAAAGGACCCTGGCACCTAGCGAGTGGCCGCCGGCCTTCAGAGCACCTGAGACACCAAGGAGAATTCCCCACGTTCTGAGGGTTAGGGAGAGCCATCCTGGCGTGTCCCCGAGTTGGGATTGTCCCCCACACCGAACGGGCTGGGCAAGGGAGGGAAGCAGGTGTGGGGATTCAGTGCCCCTCAGAGCTGTTGCTAGGGGAGAACTGAGCACTTCGGATCTTTCGGGGCTTGGGCAGCTGTCTCTCCGCACAGCATCTTTGATAGCACAGCTTCTGACCTGAGGGTCCTCCAGTCACTGCTGACCCTGAGGGTCCTCCGGTCAGTGGAAAGGGGGCCTGGGTCTAGATGGGACATCATAGAGTGCTGGACCCCAGGCTGAGGAGACAGGGAACCTGGAGAAGGCAGTAGGTGGCTGGCAGCCAGGTGCCAGTGAGACGGATGCTGGGGCCCATCCCCTCCCCGGGGACCGGGAAGCCCTGGTTATCAGGAAGCTCAGTGGCCCGAGGGCATCTGCATCCGGCCATACCACCTGGTGCAGACCCAACCCAGAGCTTGCAGGCAATGTGAGCATGAGCCTGTGGCTTGCCACGCTGCGTCTCAGTTTACCCATCTGCATATCGGAGACTCCTCCAGCACCTGCCTCCCGGGTGGCTGAGCAGAGCAAATGACAGCAGAGCAAATGCCATCATCACACTCGGAGAGGATAGCAGTCGGGGCCCCACCCAGTACCACAAGGTGCTCAGGATCACCACCGCAGGAGTTGCTAGGCACCAGCGCGGGGTTGGTGTTGCCTCAGGTCAGGACAGCCTTTGTCTGAGGACCAGGTGCAGCTGGAGCTGGAGTCATCCTGGTCCTCATTCCCGTCACTGCCCAGGCAGGTGCTGGTTGCGGGGAGGGGGACCCCCAGGGTCTCTCAGCCGACTGGGGCAGACTGGGGGGTGAGCTCTGACCTGGAGGAGGGATTTGTCCTCACAGAGCCCTGGGTGCCCCTCCCTGCCTGAAGGGTGGCTCCAGGGGACCTGAGAGCCCTCTGCCAGGGGACTCAGGGGCTGGGAGGGCAGGGCAGCAGGGTGGGGGGACCTGGCTTGGAGCTTGAGAGGCGGGGTGCAGCGGGAGGCTTTCTGGGTGGGTGGAAGCTTCAGTGCTGACATTACTGTCAGAAGAAGCCCGAGGTCCAGCCCCAGCACCACCTGGGGAAGTGTCCAGGCTCCAGAGCCCCAGGCCAAGAGCCCTGCATCCACTATGGAGACTTCTCAAGGTGAAAACCCAGGTGCATGCAGATGTCTAAAAATAGCATTATTCTGCACACTGCGGTATTAAAATAAAAATAAGAGGTGGAACTGATTTGTGTGGTACAATTGTAAAATTTTACACCCATATAAACAGCAACACCAAGTTACTGATTTAATACAGAACATTCTGTGCCCAAGAGTGCCACAGAAAAGCCATGGCCACACCCAGGACTTGTCCCTGGGTCCCTACAGCACCCACTCCTCACCCAGAGTGTGAGTGGGCGGCTGTGTGGCATGGCGTGGGATTAATCTGTGTCTGTGTCCTGGCTCAGAGAGGACCCCAGGAGGCTGCCGGTCACCCCCCTCGGAGTGGGTGTCCTCCCTCGGGACACTGCCTGCTCCTGGCCCCGGAACGTCCAGCCCAGGTCACCGCAGGGTGCCTGTTCCTCTGCAGTCAGCCCAGGGGGAGGGAGGGTGGACGCACAGAGGCGTCTCTACATGGCCTCTCTGGTAGCAACACATTCTGCAGCCCACGGCCCATTGTGTGCATCTGTGTCTAGCGTGCTCACTGCATGTGTCAGCATGTTCACTGCATGCCTAGTATGTTTGCTGCATTCTAGTGTGTTCGCTGTGTGTCGAGTGTGTTTTCTGCATGTGTCTAGCATGTTCGGTGTGTGCATCTAGCATGTTCACCGCATGCATCTGGTGTGTTCTCTGCACACATCTAGCATGTTTGTTGTGTGTCTCTTATGTTGGCTGTGTGTGCCTAAGTGTGTTCACTGTATGTGCCTCGCATGTTCACTGCCTACGCCTAGCATGTTTGTGGAGTGTCTAGCGTGTTCTCTGTGTGTTTAGCATGTCACTGTGTCCAATGTGTTTGTTGTGTGTCTAATATTCTCTGTATGTGTCTAGCATGTTCGCTGTGTGTGCCTAGAATGTTCACTGCCTTGTCTAGCATGTTCATTGTGCACACATTCTAGTATGTTTTCTATGTGTCTAATGTGCTCACTGCACGTGTCTAGCATGTTCTCTGGGTCCTGCCTGTGCATTCACCATGTACGTCTAGCATGTCTGATGTGTGTGTCCAGTCTGTAGCCCTCACAATGTGACCCAGTTTGAAGGACACAGACTGGCACCACCCAGGCCTGGGGAGGCCAGAGTAACTGCTTGACATTTGACAAATAATTCTCTAATTCTTTGCTGTTCTGTTAGGCATTTGTTTGGGGCTATTTTTTGTACTGGGGATTGAACCCAGGGCCTTTGCACTGTGAGCTGCATCCCTAAACTGTTTAACTTTTGAGACAAGGTCTAGTGAGTTAATAAGATGCCCAGATAAATGGATTTGAACTTGTGATCCTCCTGCCTCAGCCTCCCAGAATGCTGGGGTGATAGGTATGCACCACCACACCTGCTTCTTTGCAGGTTTTAATGGGACTTTTTCCCCACAAATGGACTTCACTTGTTAGCAAGTTTCAGGTTCACAGGAAGCAAGCACAGAGTCCTGAGAAGCCCTGTCCACCCCTGGTACTTCAGTATGCGGCGGGCTTTGGAGCGGGAGCCCTTGTTCCTCGCTGGGCCTGTGCCCTCTCTGGGCTGCCAGAGCCCTGGGAACCTGCCGACCCCTCCTGACCACCCTCTCCATCCCTGCAGGCCTTGCGAAGCCCATCGGCCTGGTGGAGGGGCCGGGCGGCCTGGGCCAGGGCGGCATGGCAGCTGCCCTGCGTGATGACAGCCAGGAGGCTGAGGGCCGGTACGAGGAGTACGGCTACAACGCCCAGCTCAGTGACCGCATCTCCCTGGACAGAACCATCCCTGACTACCGGCCCAAGAGGTGAGTGCGGCCCAGGGCACGCTGCCGATGGGCTTGCGGGGTGTGCAGGGCCTGCCCTGGAGCCCACCTGCCTGCGGCTGAGCCTCTCCGTGTGTCTCCCTCCCTTTCCCTGCATAGCTCCCCTGTCTCTGTCTGTGTCTCTATCTCTGTCTCCCTCACTCTGGGTCGAGTCTCTCCTGGCCACACCTGTCTTCCTTGACCCCACTCCCTTCCACCCAGCTGCAGGCCTGGCCCTACCCAACACGTGGGTTCCTGGCCTTTGGGCCAGGTGTGGACTTGTGCACCTGCAGCCGCCCTGTGTGTGAGGGTTGGCACCCTCTGGCCCTGTGGCCCCAGAGTGCGGTGGCAGAGAGCTCAGAGCTGCCATCCCCCGCCACTGTGCTGGCCGAGGCTGGTGTCCAGACTGCTTACAGCCCCGCTCTGGAAGCTCGGGGTGCCTGACGAAAGGGCCTGGCCTGCACCTGCAGGGACAGTCAGGCAGTGCAGGCCAGACTCCCCAGACACAGGTTGTGGGGCCTCCCACTGGGTGCTGGGAGGGCCCAGTGGGTAGGGGGGCTCTCTGTTCCCCAGTGACCCTCCAGGGCTGGGAGCTTGCCTGAGTGCTCCAGGAGAAGGGGCATTGGGAGTGGCGAGGCCGGGTGGGCACCCTTGGGCAGTGCCAGGCACGTAGGGTACTTGTGGGAGGCCCCACCCCCATTCTCAGTGCTCAGGGGGCTGCTGGGGCACCTTGTAGACTGATTGCTTCTCAGGGGCCTCAGTCCCCTCCTTGTTCCCCCTTTAGCCCTTGCCCCCCGAGGGTGGGCTGGGATGACCTGCCTCAGTGTCCTCTGCCTCCCTGAGGTGGCTTCATGGTTGAGCGGACAGGGCCCCCCCACACCTACTCCCACCTCTCGAGAGGTGGCCTGGAAACTGCTCTTGTCAGAGCTGAGGCCAGGGAAGGGTCGGGGACCCACGTTAACAACCCGAGACCCCCAGACCCCAGGGAGCCGCGACTGCCCTGGCCTGGCCTCCTGGAGGCTCCTAGAGGTGGCAGGGAAGCGGGTTTAAGCCTCACCCTGCCTGTGGAATCCACACGACGTTGGTCACGCAGCAGAATCTTCTGGTCTCCCTCCCACGGTGCCCAGGACAGCTGTGGGGGCCTATATGCCTGCCCCAGCCCCTGCAGTGTCTGTCCTGATGGCTGCTTCCATTTGAACCAAGCAGTAGTTCTGAATTTGGACCTGTCAGTAAGCTCAACCCAGAAGGTTTGAATTTGGGACAGTTTGGTCCAATCAGCAGGCTCAAATCTGGACCAATCACAGGCTTGGATCTGGACAGGTCCAAGGCCTGCAGCTGCTATATCAGCAGTGCCCCTCTCTTCCCGGGCTCTGAGCTCTGCCTGGTGTCTCATGCACACAGGTCCTGTGCAAGTGACGCTTCCTGTGGGGTCCCACAAACCTGCCCCAGCTCGTTTCTCAGGTAGCATGGGGTTAGGAGGTCCTGCAAACCTACTTGGGTCCCAAGGAGCCGGGCAGAATGGATCTGTTTTCAAAAAAGCAGTGTGCACCAGGGGCCAAGGAGTTTGGAGCCCAGTGGCAGAGGTGGCCCTGAGAAACAGCATCATCAACTGTGGCAGTGACCAGCCACAGTGTCCCCAGCAGCAGCAGTGAGTGACCACAGCGATGAGCACAAACCGATGCTGGCTGGTGACATCGTCTGACAGTGCCAGAGACCACCAGCAGCCTTGGTGCCTGGGGCCCAGAGCTGTCACTGTGGGCTGAAGGTTACAGGCCGGCATGGTTCCTGCACCTGGGCATGAGCAGATACCGTGACTGACCCATCGCTGTGTCGGTGGCTCTTGCCTGGAGCTTGCTGAGCTGATTCCTTCCAGATGCCACAAATTTATTTTCTGACTAACAGAAATGGTTCTGTGTAAGTCAGAAGCCAGTCCTCAGGGCCCCTCGCACTGATTACTCCAGGGCTGCTGTGCCACGACAGACACGCACAGTCACAAGCCCAGCCACCCCCGCGTTCCAGGGCCCCGGGAGCTGAGGCTGGGAGCCCAGGGCTGCACAGAGAGGAGGCTCTGTTTGTGTCCCCAAGGGACAGGCGTTCCTGAAGGTGGACATGTGTGACAGAGGAGCCGCAGGGGGGGACCAGCTGGGACACCAGGCAGTTGGGCTTTGCGAGCGCTGTCAGGCATAGGCCCCTGTTGCGTCACTAACTGTCACACAGACACGTGTCTGATAAATATCCCTTTCCATATGCTCAGTGCTAAACATGATGTTTTAAACCCACAAAGGCCTCACGTTATAAATAAGAGGTTTTTCTTAAATGTCACACTATTTCTAACCTAAACAACTCTTGAGCTCCAGGTGTTCATAACGAGTGACTTTGTTACGGGGACACTGACCGGTACCGTAGGACAGAGCCAAGAGGGGAGTCACAATGAGGGGTGTGGGGGTCACGCAGCTGGAGAAGCAGAGCTGGCCAGGGACTGCTCAGGGGCCTCACCTGCAGGATGGGTGGCCACGGTGACAGACCCCTGTCCCCTGCCTGCTGCCTGCCCTCCCACAGTCCTGTGGACTGTGTGTCACTGTCCTGTGTGCGTCTGTCTGTCCTCCCCTTCTTTCTTCCCTTCCTCCTCCCTGATGGAATCTGGAACTTGGGTGCCCAAGTCAGCACGGAGCATTTCCCACTGTCCCCCGGGGCCCTTGTCGGTGTGACACGGAAGGTCTTGGCCTGAGGCTTCCTCCTGCCCCACCCCCCACCTCTACGGGCCGGATCAGAGCTTCTGTGGACGCCCACAGAGCCTGGCCTTGGACCCCACGTGCCGCTCCGGGCAGCTTCTCGGTCCCTGGCGTAGGGCTCTGTGCACGCAGGACACTGACAGCTCTGAAGTGGCACGGGGAGTCCTGAGCCACAGGAGAGGCCACTGGCGCATGGTGTCTCTGCGCCTATCTTCTGCCACACATTCAGGTTATTGCCACGACCCCACGCTAACAATGCGTGTGAGCAGGAGCTCTTTGCCACAGGCCACTAAGCCGTCACGTGAGAAGATGAAAGCAGTCTTCGGAGGCAGAATTTCTCAGGGCTCTAGAAACCTCCCACTGCAGCTTTGTTCAAAGACATGGTTCTTAAGAAGTCACAGGAAATGCTCCCCAAGAGTTTGCTCTTCAGAGAATTTCGAGACTATTTCCAGTGTGCTTGGCTGGGAAGAGTCCACCGCGGGCTTTAGAAGAGCCCACTTCTCATGCAAGACGCTCTTTCCCCTCTCAGCCGCGGGATGTTGAACTGTTCGGTGCCCGAAATACTGTTCCCGCTGGATCACCCTGGTCCCTGCCAGAGACTCCCTGGGCCCTGGGCCTCCGTGTTGGAGGAAGTGGGACTCAGCTACACCACTCTGCAGGGCGCGGACCCTTCAGGAGGGGGAAAGGGACAGCCATGTCGTCTGCAGGGGCTGTGGCAGCCTGGCCTCCAAGGAGACTTGGTCTTTGTGGTCTTATTTTATGTGTGTGTGTGTGTGCGGTACAGAGCACTGAAGTTCACGTGGGACTGTAACAGAAAGCACCCCCCCAGTCAGTGTACTTCCGGTTCATAGTTGCCGTGGTAACAGTTCCTGTTCCAGTTCCGGTTGCTCCTGCCTCTTAGAAGCGGCTGCTTGCTATGCTGCACGTTGTAAGAACCAATCCCCAGTGGACACGCCATTCTGCTGCTGTCCTTCCTGCCTGCTTACCCCATAGAAGTCCTACGAAGCCCAAGATCGGGCCTGAAATTCCAGAAATGACCCATCAGTGTCCATCGGCGTAAATAAATCCGCCTCCAGACCCTGGGTGTCGTCTTGGTCTTCCTGCTCGCCGTTGCAGGACCTTGGCCCACACACCTGACTCATCTGGACCCTTTTCCACCCCGTGATTTTTGCGTGTGTTCTGCCTGGCGCGCAGCTGGCCAGCCCTGGGATTTGATGTGTGTCCTGTCAGAGGTGGGCAGGCCCTCAGGCGAGGCAGGGATTGCCATGAAAGTGAGGCTTCCAGCTGGGCTCATGTGAAGCCTGCGGGCAGCAGGCCATCCCTGCATGGTTTACCTGCACCACCACCATCCACGCCGCCTGTGGACACCGGCCCCATCAGCACTGCGGCTGGACGTTGGCCTATTGGTCCCACAGGAGAGCCGAACAGGCCTCTCTGGACCTGACCCGCGCCCCTGACGCCTGGTGACGCTGAGCCTCTTCTCAAGCACCTGTACCTTAGTCTCCTTACTGGAGGGCTGGGGATGCATTGGGAATCTTTGGTGCCTGCCCCTTTCTGTGGTCTGGATTCATCATGGCAGCAAAGGTGCTCAAGACAGTGATGCTCTGGTTTCTCTCCTCTCAACATTTGCTGACTGTACATGCAGTGGTAATTATTAGCAGTGGCCCACAGCCTTTCAGGATCCACAGCAAACCCAGTGGGAGCCCACTGAAGACCCTGGCCCCTCCGGGTGGTAGACGGAGGCCTAGGACAGCATGGCCATGCTTGTGTCAGGCGGACTGATGTGTTGCGATGGACATCTGCTATCTGCTGGCCACTGACATACACCTGCCTTCACAGGCAGCCTCTCAGGGACCAACCCTCCCCCACCAACCTCAGGATTTGAGGATTATGCAATCCAAGGATAAGCCAATCAGAGCCCTGTGTTTTCTCCAATTATGGTAATAGGCTTGGGGAGAGGTGCCTTGTCCAATCAGAGCCCAGAGATACAGCAATGCTGATGTCCTGGAGAAGCAGGTGGCTTCCTCTCGCTGGCCGCTGGCCGCTGTACCTGTCAGGTCAGGGCCTGTGAGAAGCCACCCTCCAGCCCTGAGCACAGGCTCGTCTGTCCGTGGTTACACCAAGCCAGGGGTGGAGCTACAAGTGGCAGAAGCAGGTACCAGTCCTGTGACACCGTTGGGGCCCCTGGCCATGCTGGGCCTGAGCCAGCCCCAGCTGGGCACCTGAGGATGGGCCAGTCAACCCTCTTTCTTCTCACACTGGTCAAGTGTGGCTTTATCATCCCCCAGGCTCCTGCTGTCAGACAATGGACACTTCTGGAAGGTTCTGCCTCTCTGCTAGTTCCTGAGAGTCTCCTGCCTTTCCTAGGGGTCAGCAGCACAGTGTCCTCATCCACTTCTCAGCCCAGCGGGGGATGCGCTTGAAGGGTGCCCCTGGGATCGACAAATAAAGAAATGGCAGTGACAGCCTGCACAAGGAGAGGTTCCCAGGCGGCGGAAGACAGGAGCACTGTGGGAGGAAATGGGGTTCCCTCGGCTCCCAGCTGGGCTGAGCCTGAGGTGCAGGACCTCCCTGGCACACAGCTCTCAGAGGCAGCCCTGCACCCAGGGGCCCACGGAGCCCTGGCCTGCTAACTTAGGAGGAGGAAGGGAGCGGTGGAGCCCACAGCTGCCCAAAGGCAACTGACCGTCCACTGCCCGCCGCGACTTGGCACTACTGCCACTGCGGGAGGGCTGTGTGTAGGGATGGGGGCTGTGTGGCCCGGGCTGGCATCTGTCTGTGCCTGGCGTCCACACATGCACACACGGCTGGATGGAGGCCCCACAGACACAGGTGAGGACAGCATCAGGATGGAGGGCGACAGGAGACGGAGGGCAGATGGCGAGTTGACACGGTAACAGGGCCCCGCTGCCCGGGCAGATGAGCTTCCTCTTCTCTCTCTGTTACATGTGCTGTGGGTTTGTGGCGTGCGTCCTGACCTCCTCCTCCTCTGCAGAATGGAGCGAGCCCTCTTGTGGGAAAGCGTTTCCTGAGTGGGAAAATCTCCCTGGCTGAGCATCCGCCATGCTTATTCATGCGACAATGGTGGGAGGTGCTTGTCCCTTTGATGGCCATGCTGCCAGTTCCCGAGCAGCCGTGCCCCTCAGGGAGGCTGCAGTGGGTTTCGTCTCCTGCTCAGAGCCTGGTGACCTCCAGATCTCTCTCCATCCTGCCCTGCAGCTCCCTCGGAGGGTCTCCCTTAGCAGCAGGGTGCTTGGGCTGCGCACAGGGAGCGACCTTGGGCCCCACTCCCTGGTGGGTGTGCACCACTGGCCCTAACTTGTCCCTGGGCCCAGGACCTCGCTGTGCCCTTGGAGAGCGGGTTCCCCAAGTCAGTGCCGCATGATGTGTTGCAAATGCCCTGGCTTTCTGTAGGTGACCTGGGGGGGGGGGACACAGGGACTGCGGCGCCCTGGACAGTGGTGGGGCTGCCCCTGTGGCAGCTCCTCCTCCAACTCTGTCCCCTCTTTATTGGCTCCTGTTCCTCCAGGACCCAGGACCCAGTCTCTCCCCGGACCTGACCGTCTGGGGCCTGGCGGTGCCACCCTGCCTCTGCATTGGGGACAAGTGTCATAGCACCCGTTTCCATCTCAGAACAGCTCCGGGCTCTGGTAGCTCACTGCGTGGTGTCTGTGTGAGCCGTGCTGTGGGCGCCATGAATCTGGCGTGGCTGAGTGGCTGCCGTCTCGGGGGCCTCCCGTTTGCTTAGGGTGACCCCGGCGGCCCTCTTTCCCCGGCAGTGCCACCTCCTTCCCTGCCCACGCCTCTCCTTCCTCCTGTGGCCAGGATGCTTGATCCCCACTGCGGCTTTGTGACCCTGTCCCACCACAGCCACCAAACGTGCTTGCACCCATGAGGTCCTGAGGTGACTTCAGGTCCCTCCAAGGACCCAGTCAGCTTCTGCCCCAGCACTGGGCCTGGCCACAGCATACCTGTTCCCACAATCTGGGGCCCAGGTCTGGCCGAGGCCTTGCCTCTTGTCCGCTGCACCTTGGCATCCCCAGGAACCACTGTCATTGGGGCACAGCGACATCGGCACCCCGGGGCTCTGGAGGCCGTGGTGACACAGAGCCTCCCAGGGCCCCGAGGACTTCACCGCCTGCCATCCCCAGGTGCCGGCAGATGGCGTACACCGAGGACCTGCCTCAGGTCTCTGTGGTCTTCATCTTCGTCAACGAGGCCCTGTCCGTCATCCTGCGCTCGGTGCACAGCGTGGTCAACCACACGCCCTCGCGGCTGCTCAAGGAGGTCATCCTGGTGGACGATAACAGCGACAGTGGTGAGTGGGCGGGCAGGGGTCCGCGTGGCAGGGCCGTCCTTTCAGATGTGCACCAGCACACTGAACACTGAGTGTTGTTACGTACCTCCAAAACTCACAGGGGCCCAGATTGAGATGCTGCCCCCCCCCCAAGCACCGAGCGCTGAGCCTGCCCTGCCTGTCGGGTTCTGGGGCCCCTGGGGTGCACTCGGTGTGATGTCAGCAGGCACAGAAAGACCTCAGCCCTGCTCATGCTCCCCTGCGGAATGTGGCACCTCCAGGCCGTGGCCCCGCCCCGCCTGTGTGGCTGTTCTGTCACTCTGTCCCTCTCTCACTGCAAGAGAGGCTTCAGGCCCAGGCTCCTGTCCCCCAGGACACAGGTCGTGTCCTTGGAGAACATTCCGAAGCACTGACTGTGCACTCCGGTATCCGCAGTGGACCTCAAGTTCAGCCTGGACCAGTACGTACGCAGGCGGTACCCAGGGCTGGTCAAGGTGGTGCGCAACAGCCGGCGGGAGGGCCTGATCCGGGCACGGTTGCAGGGCTGGAAGGCGGCCACCGCCCCTGTCGTCGGCTTCTTTGACGCCCACGTGGAGTTCAACACTGGCTGGTGAGCAGACAGCCTCGGCAACCTCTTGGGGTGCTGGCTAGGAGGAAGGCCGGGCAGAGGTGTGGGCTGTGGCCAGCTGGTCCTGGGGTGGGCCCGGCCCAGGAAGAGGCATCACCAGGGCCAGGGACACAGCTCTGCTTCTGGGAGAAACTGGGTCAGGAGCCCACGCCTCCTCCCACTCAAGAGAAATTGGGGGGTGCCCCGGTCGAGGGGCCAGGACAGGAGCTGACAGGGACTCCCGAGGCCTTCCCACTGCCCCGAGGGTCTCTGTGGGGCAACAGAGGGGCCTCCCCAGGCCAAGCTGGCACCTGCTGCCTGGAGGCCGGCTTAGAAGAGTGGACACTGCCCACTCTCAGGCCAGTGCTCCAGGTCTGTCTGCTCCCAATGTGTAGTGTGAGCTGAGGCCCCCACGTGGCCCCGTCCCCAGGGAACAGGGTGCATGGCCATCGTCCCTGTGTGCAGGACAGGCACTATCTCCCCACAGGGCGCAGGGCCGCCAGGTACTGGTTTGCTTAGCGATGTCCTTCCCGTGGCCCTGCCCTGGGGTCCTTGGCTCTCCCCACTCACCTCACACAGCCCTTCTCTGTTCTGAGGCTCAGTGCCCAGCAGGTCCCTGGCAGAGACTCAGGTCTCCTCTGCTCTGGGTCCCTGTGCACTTGCTCTGCTCCCTCCTCCAGCACCCTGTGAGGGGCTCTGCTTCTCCACCACCTCCTCACACTGCATTGGCAGCTGTCCTCGCTGTCTGTCCCCCCGGGGTCACCCATCCTGAGGTGTGGGTTGCACACAGCACAAAAGGACCCAGCAGCCTTTCTGCCCCTCGAATGTGTCACTGGCTTGGTGAGGCCCGGCGTGTGCTCTGAGTTCCGTCTGTGCTGGCGGAGTGTGATTATGAGCCGGCATGGCTAACCTTCAGCACACCGGGAATCCCCGCCCCCAGCTCCGCCCAGCCAGCAGCCCTGGCGTCATCTGCAGGCCCTGCTGGCCGCAGTTACTGGGTCCTCCTGAGGAGCACAGCATCGGAGTCACAGCCTCGCCTATGGCCCCTGTCCCCTCTGCCCACGCTGTCCACCACACTCAGCACACTGGCGCCGTCCTTGTACCGGCTCTCTCCTTCCCTCATCCTGGAAGCAGCACAGCCCACACCCGACACCTGTGTCCCGCTGCACTGCATTCCCCTGTCCCCAAAGCCCTGCACCTCCAGGCTCACACCTGCCCCGCAGCCCCACCCTCCCATGCATCATGGCTCCCAGAGGCAGGAACATTTTTGTCTTTCGGTTCACAGATTATTCCAGTGTGGAGGGCAGCGCATGGTGGGTATGGGTTTTCAGCCAGTGCTTGCAGAGGGCAGGAAGGGGCAGGGACGTGGGCACCCTCAGAGTTGTCCCAGCTAGGAAGGCTGGCCAGGGTCACGTGCCACGAGCCATTTGGGTGTCCGGGGCTGAGCCGGGTCCGGCTCCCTCTCACGCCTGATCCCGCAGGGCCGAGCCCGCGCTGGCGCGGATCCGTGAGGACCGGAGGCGGGTGGTGCTGCCAGCCATCGACAACATCAAGCACAGCACGTTCGAGGTGCAGCAGTACGCCAGCGCCGCGCACGGCTACAACTGGGGGCTGTGGTGCATGTACATCATCCCACCGCAGGACTGGCTGGACCGCGGAGACGAGGCTGCACCCATCAGGTGAGGCTGGCAGGCACGGTGGGCGGCGCTGGGTGGCAGAGGAGGTGGGGTGGGGTGCTCCGGGAGGTGGGGCCGGGACTCGGCAGACGCAGGCCAGGCGCCCCGTCTGACCTGTGGTCTCTGCAAAGCATCTACCTTTATTTAACACCAGCCCCTTTGACTTCAAATGGGAGAGATTAACGTGGACTGCGCAGTGCCGAGTCTGTGAAGCCCCTGGTGTGGGACGTGGGCCCATTTGCCGGGGCAGTGAGGGCTGCAGGTCAGGAGCCCTCTTGCCATCTCTCCATGTGCCTTGGACCCTGCCTCAGAGCCTGCGGGGCTCCTGGAGACGGCCAGCCCTGACTCCCAAGCCCTGGCTAGGTCTCCCTGCCTGCCTCAGCTGGGCCTATCGCAGGCCATGGTGCTGGGGGTATGGGGCACCCCAGGCCCAGAGCAGTGTGATGTCCTCTTACACAGGACCCTTGAGGGGTCCTGAGCAGGCTGGGCACAGTGGGCCGGGCACAGTGGGGACGTCACCAGCCCAGGTCAGTCCTTTTGTGGGTTCTGGAGAGGAGGAATTCGCATCTCCAAGAGGACCTTGCTTGGGAAGTGGTGGCGCTTGGGAGGCCCCTTGCCAGGCGAGCCCTACCTCACCACCAGCAGGGCTAAGTCCTTAAAGCCCCAAAGGCCCAGAGCCAGCGCGGGTGCCTTGGGCAGGAGCCTGCACAGGGCTCCCCAGCTCCCCGGGCTGTGGTGTTTTCCTCTTTTGTGCCTGTGACAGCCCCAGTCAGGGGCACTTGGAGCCTGACCTTGTGTGTGACATTGAGAAGTCAGTGGATTCAGGGCCTGGACGGGACTACAGCCTGGGGAGGCTGGTCGCAGCCCTGTCAGCATTGCACAGAGCCCCCTGAGGATGCAGGAAACAGAGGCACACAGCCAGCCCCTTGGGGAGAAGGCAGCACATGGGGGCATGCTCCTGGCTGCACTGTCAAGGAAGGCCAAAACACGAGGCTCCACGGCCTTGAAAATGACAGCTTGTCAGACGTGGCCCTGCCCAGGCTTCCAGGGACAGGGCGTCATGGCTGTGCATCTGGGCGGGCAGGGGGCCGCCTTCCTCACCGACAGGGTCAGCGCTCCGTCCCGTGTCTCACGTCACCTCCTCAGAGGGCGCCATCACCAGCGAGGATACCGTCAAACGTCAGCGCTGTCTTAGTTACTTTTCTCATTGCTGAGACAAAATGCCAGGCCCTCGGCTAACTGCAGGAAGGCCGGTTCCCGCTCTCGCTTTGCAGAGATTTCCGTTCACAGCTGGGGCTCCCAGGAGGGGCGGCACGGCACAGGCGTCAGGGGAAACGGGAGGACAAACCAAAAGCAGACAAACAGCTAGCGCCAGCGGCCAGCCTTCCTGTGCCCTGCGTCTCTCCCAGGCCACCAGCCTGTGCACAACAGCCAAGGACCGTGGGGCGTCAGACGCCGCCATGGAATGGAGTGCGAGTGTGTGTGCCTCAGTGGATGAGTCAGGCTGCCTCAGTTTCCTCCTTGTCCTCATCATCTGTGTCATTGCCCATGGAGGGTTTGGATGCTGTTCATGCCGGGGAACGGGTGCCAAGGGACAGCAGGACCCGCCTGGGTAGGAGTGGGCAGGAGGCCACAGGGCTGGCGCAGGCCCCATGTTCACGCCTGTCTCCGCCCCAGGACACCCGCCATGATCGGCTGCTCATTCGTGGTGGACCGAGAGTACTTCGGGGACATCGGCCTGCTGGACCCCGGCATGGAGGTGTACGGGGCTGAGAATATCGAGCTGGGCATGCGGGTGAGTGCAGGCGAGACCTGAGGGGCCACCTGGAGCCCCCAGAACAGCCAGGGTGGGAACTCTGGAAGCCTGGCACCTACAGGAACAGGGACAGAGGCACAGGAGTGGTCCCCGCCACCCTGGTGGGCAGAGCCTGGCCCAGGGCTGCACCCAACTGGTGGCCTTGGACAGCATGAGTGTCCACTCCATTTCCCGGCCTCTCCCCATTGCCAGGGCCACGGAGGGACAGGGCCTGGCAGCCCTACCTTCCGCACCCATAGGAGGAGGAGGCGGAGGAGGATGCGGGTCCTCGGTGAAGCTGAAGCCAGGCCTGGTCAGGAGGGGCATGGAGGAAGGAGCTGCAGGGGTGTGGACTGGGGTGGCAGGGCAGAGTGTGCAGGGTGGGCCTGGTGTGGGGTCCGGTCCCCCATGGTGGGGGCTGGAGGCCCTGAGTGGGGGCTCCCCTACCTCCTGCACCAGGGCCGCTCTGTCCCTGGGCTCCTGGGTGATGACAGACTGGGAACAGGTCAGGGAGGCTGGAGGGAGCGCAGGCCGCTTTGCTTTGCGAGAGGCTCGGAGGAGCTGACATCATGTCACCTGGCATGCAGCTGGGCCACTGTCCAGGTTAGCGTCACCGTCACAGCGGGGCCAGTGGGCACAGGGACGGGGTGCAGAGCTCACTGCCCTTGTGGTCCCTGTGACAAGGAAGGGGCTGACATGTGAGCTGTACTCCGCTGGGGGTCTGGCGTGGGTCCGGCTCCCACCAGGCCATGGCCTCTGCCATGAGGTGGTGCCTGCTGGAGGTGACATTGGTCTCCAGGCCACCACGACAACCTGAGGCCGGGACCTGGAGGAGCAGTGATGTGTCCTCTGTTGCCCTAGTGCTGGAAGCCCAGAGTCCGTGGGCCAGGCCAAGACCCGGGTAGAGTGATAGGCTCTGCTCACCCGAGGCTTGGCTATCTCCAGCATGACAGCTGCCCACCTTGGTACTGGGCCCAGAGCAGCAACTTCTCTGAGTAACTTCTGTGTCCTTCTAGTCCCAGAGATAAACCTCCCGCTCCCTTTTTGTGCATGCGTGGAGCCCTCTCCAATCCCAAGACTCCAAAGCCACCCAAGCCTCCACCCCGACCCCAGTAAATCTCTCCGTGTCCAGCTTTGCACAGGCGCCTTCAGATCAGCTGAGGAGGTCGTCTTACCCACCTCCCGAACTCCTCCCCAGCCGGACCTGATAAGTGCTCGCACTGTTGTGCTCTCGCCCGAGGGTGTTTGCATCTCTTTTGCCGCCCTTCCCTGCCCACAGTGAAGGCTTCCTTCTTTCTCTGTCTCTCATCTTGTGCCAAAATCTCCACCACTGCCACCTGTGCCCACGCAGCCGGCCCTGGTGTGTCCTGGCTCGAGCGTACTTTACTTCAGCTGTCCACATCAGTCCTGGTGGAGCGCTGCTTCCCTCTTGCTCTGACTCCTGGGAACCCTAAATGCTTCACCAAACCCTCTGCCAGTGCTGGAGGGGCCAGATGCTGTTGGGGGCTGGGACCTGGTGCTGAAGCCCGGATGCCTGGGCCGCAGAGCCCCCCCAGTCCTCTGCTTGTGCCCACCTCATCCCCGCCTCCCTTGCTTCCTTTTGGCAAATCTGGGCGCACCTGACGCCTGGTGCAGCCTCGCCGCCGCGCTCACATATTGATGGGTTCCCAGCCACCCTGCTGGCCCAGCAGCGCTGTTGTCTTCATCCTGGTCTTGTACTGCCCCAAGTGCTCGAGGCACCCCTGGTTCCCCCTCCCGGCGAAGGGCTCCACGTGAAGCCCTTCGTGACAGCCTTCTCGGGCCCACAGGGCTCTGGTTTGGAATGTTGGCGCTCCTGTGCTGTCCCTGCGTGGCCTTTCCCACTAGTGGCTTCGTAGCTACCTCTTGCGTAGTCTCACCCTTGCCACCGGGATGCACCCACTCCAGTGTGGGACCTGTGTGACATCTTGGGGTGCTGCATCTGCGTGGAGCGCAGCTGGCTGTGGCCCCAGGACACACATCCCCATCCATCAGTGGAGAGGCCATGGGGGAGGCCCCAGGTGCTCGAGCCCAGTGGCCGTCAGCAGGCCCACCAGGCCCCGTGTCCTCCAGATCCCCGTGAGGGTGAGGGTGGCCTGGCCCTGGCCCCTCAAGCCCCACACCGGGTGGCAAGGCGGGAGCTGCTCTGAGCTCCATCCTTGGGGACTGATCTGCCCATGCTCCTCGTGGGTGCAGAGCCTCGCACCTCACCCTCAGCCACTCTGTCCCCAGGAAGGGGCTCTGCCAGCGGGATCAGCAGGACTCAAGTCAGCAGGCTCGAAGCAGCACAGTCAGTAACCCTACTGCAGAGGGCAGCTCAGGGTCAGGGATGCCGCAGTCCGGAGAGGGCTGACCAGGCTGCATCCTGTCTCACACTTGCTGAGGGCTTCATCGGTGATCCAGTCCCCAAGCCCAGACCATGGCTGCGTGCAGCCTGGGCTCTACCAGGCCAGGGAATGTTCCAGAACCCCATCCATCCCAGCAGGCCAAGGGATGCTCTGGGACCCTGGCAGGCTGCCAGGCCCAAGACGAGTACCCACGTGACTATATCTGTGAGTGGCTAGTTAGACCCTCTGTCTGGGACAGTCACCAGCCTGGCACTGAGGAGGCCAATAGGGCCTGGGCCTGGGACACAAGGTGGCGGCCTGCAGGAGAGGCTGCGGCCCCTGGATGAGGCGGGGTCCCTGTGTCTCACGCACCACCCAAAGCTTTCGACCCCCTCGTCCACACCCGTCCGTCCCTCACAGTGGCCTTGAGCCACCCCTGCCTGGGTCAGCAAGTGTCTAGCCCTGCAGCCAAGACAGCATGACAGTCCAGAGTGCCTCGGCTGCAGCTGTGGGTGCAGTGGAGCCGTGAGGCTCCCGGTATTGGCTTGCACCCGCCCTTCCAAAAGCAGAGGGGTGGAGGAAGGAAGCAGGAGTCAACCACCACGTCCCCCAAATTGAGGGGCTCAGCCTCTGCATTGGGTCAATTGGTGACCCCCAAAGATATGTCCACCCAGTGCCTGTGCGTGTGGCCTTTGTGAAAGAGTCTATGCAGTGTGGTTACAGTGAGGATCTGAGGCCTTCTGGGACTACGACGATGGGCCAAAACCCAATGACGAATGTCCTTCAAAAGGTGACAGAGGGGAATTGGACTAAGACACAAAGGAACGCCGCGGGCCTCAGACCTGGGTCAGGTGGCAGCTCTGTCCTCTGCAGTCTTGTGCAGCTGACACAGGAGCGGAGAGATGGATGAATAGGTGGATGGGTGGATGGGTGGATGGATGGGGGGTGGATGGATGGGTGGATGGATGGGTGGGTGGGTGGATGGATGGGTGGATGGATGGGTGGATACATGGATGGATGGATAGATGGGTGGATGAATGGGTGGGTGGATGGGTGGATGAATGGGTGGGTGGATGGGTGGATGGTTGGACGGGTGGATGGATGGTTGGACGGGTGGATGGATGGATGGACGGGTGGGTGGATGGATGGATGGGTGGGTGGATGGGTGGATGGGTGGATGGATGGGGGGTGGTTGGATGGGTGGATGGATGGATGGGTGGATGGATGGGGGGTGGTTGGATGGGTGGATGGATGGGTGGATGGATGGGTGGATGGATGTGGGTGGTGTGGCTGGCTGGCTGGCTGGATGTGTGCCTGCACTGGCTCTTATAGACAAGATGGATTGGTACAGGATGGTATTGGTCAGAACTCCCCAGAGAATCAGACTCCTAGACATGGACATAGATACAGATAAGCACACAGCTGTAGGTGGGTACAGACAGACAACACACACAGATGTAAGGAATTGGCTCCCATCACCGTAGAACCCAGGAAACCCCAAGATCCACTGCTGACAAGTGGGGGTTCTCGGGGAGCTGGTGGTTGTGGTTCTGGTCCGAGTGCATTCTGGGGCAGGAGTGGACACTGTCCAGCCTGCAGGGACAGGATAAGAGTGGTTGGAAGGAAACAGCCAGGGGGGCCGTGTGGGAGACGGGACACAGGTGGGGGCTGTGGGCAGGGCCTGGGGCTCTTTTGGGGCACCAGCTGTTGAACCTCAGCTTGGCTGAGCTCCCATAGGTCCTGGGGCCACTGACTCAGCAAGTGGACCCTGGTGCTTGGCCACGGGCTCCCTGCGCAGCGCTGTAGACAGTGGATGGGTGGATGGATGGGTGGGTGGATGGATGGATGGGGGCCGGCGCTCACAGCCCCGCCTTGCAGGTGTGGCAGTGTGGCGGCAGTATGGAGGTGCTGCCTTGCTCCCGTGTGGCCCACATCGAGCGTACCAGGAAGCCCTACAACAACGACATCGATTACTACGCCAAGCGAAACGCGCTACGGGCCGCCGAGGTGTGGATGGATGAGTTCAAGTCCCACGTGTACATGGCCTGGAACATCCCCATGACTGTAAGCCAGGCCTGGTGCGCTCAGCAGCCAGGGGGCGGCGGGGGGGGGGGGGGCATGTCTGGAAAGAAGAGGCTCCTCACACAGGCCAGGAGGTTGGGGGTGTTGCCTCTAACCTCCTCAGTGGGCTCCTTTCCTGGGTCACAAGTGACTGCCAGGTATTGGAAGTGAGGGATTGAGCTGTGTATGTAGCACACACTTGTAATCCCAGGGCCCTGGAAGGCTGAGGCAGGAGGGTTCCAAGTTTAAACCCAGCCTGGGAAACTTAGGGGCTCAGTAAAACCCTGCCTCGGGATTTTAAAGGGGCTGGCAACGTGGCTCCATGTGAAGGCCCTGGGCTCAGTCCCCACAGCAGTGCTGAGGAAGGGGGCTGCTGCCTGGCCTAGCCTAGGGTATCTACTATGCAGGGGCTTCCTATCCCCCGGCAGGGAATCAGAACAGGCACATAGATGTGAGCCGGAAGGAAACTGGTCTGCACAACGGTCGGTGTGGCAATGTCCCTCGAAGACTGGGGGGAGGACACCACACAGCTGAGTGTGGGATGTAGTGTGCACAGCTCTGCCCAGCCCCATTGGCCCAGAGGGAGGAGGCCTTTGCCACTCACATCCCATGATCCAAGGACTCATGAAAGCCCCCATTCAATTAATCCACAAACAGGGCAACCACCGGGGTCGCCCTTGGCCTGTAAGTGAGGCACAGCGGGGCCAACCTGAGAGCGCACAAAGTGACGGGGCTCAGACCCAGAGAGCCCAGCGCTCACCAGCAGGGCCACACTCCGGGCCTTCCAGAGCTGGGCAGGGCAGGGCCGGGCACTGGGGCTCCTTGGGCTGGGGGCGTGGGGCCCCCACTCCCCTCCTGCTGTTTCTGCTGCAGAACCCGGGGGTGGACTTCGGGGACGTGTCCGAGAGGCTGGCCCTGCGCCAGAGGCTGAAGTGCCGCAGCTTTCGCTGGTACCTGGAGAACGTGTACCCCGAGATGAGGGTCTACAACAACACGCTCACGTACGGAGAGGTACCGCCTGCCACAGGGCCCTCACGCAGCACACGTGGGTGCCACACAGAGGACATGGGCATGGCCACCCACCACATGGCCCACACGCACACATGTGCCTTAGAAGCATGCACAAGAACAGATGCATACACATGTACACTGGTATGTACAGGCACATGTGATGCAGCTAGACAGGTTTACATGCTTCTTTTTGGACACACACCCACATGTATGTGCATGAATTGCATGGATTGCATGTGTGTACACGCATGTGTGTTCCAGTGCACACAGGCATGCAGTGTACTCACATCCTGTGTGCACACAAACACATCCACATGCATGAGCACGCACCATCATGTGTGCTTATGTCTGTGCGTGCACATTGGGCACCTGCGTGTCCATGCTGGCAGACCCCACTTACAATGTGCACACATGTGTGGACACAGGTTTCCACACAAGGGAGGGCATGAGCCTGTCACACGTGGGGAAGTGAGTGCACACTGACACAGGTGCACACGGATGGAGGGGCACGCGTTCACACACGTGCACCAAGATACATTTCACCTCTGCCTGAACCCTGTGCATGAATGAACACACCCAGCCATCATCCTGACGTGTGTGCACCCTCGCACACAACCATGTTGGTGACCCACGGTGCACACACATGCACAGGCAGCCAGTGTCCCTACTGGTACTCAGTGAGGGGTCACAGACTGTCACATTGGGCCCAGGGCAGTGTCCCTGTCCTCCTGCAGCTGTGCAGGCGCCGAGCAGCAGAGATGGGGATGGCAGGCTGCCGCCCTCTCAGCACCGAGCAGCCCAGCTTTTGTGCAGAAGCCACGTCTGCCTGGCCAGCACAGGGAAAGGGACGCAGGTGCAGATCTCGCTGCCATCCCTACCTGGGCTCCAGGCCCCAGGTTCTGAGTGTGGGCAAAGGCCCTGTGTGTGGTGGGGCGGGGCTGCTGCCTGGCCTCTTCTGCCTCTGCCCTTCCCCAACCGTCTGCAGCATCCCCACGCTGCCCAGGCCACGTGGCTCTCCCCACCCATGCTCCGTGGTCTGAGATGCAGCCGCCCCAGCCGTGCCCAATATGGAGCCAGTGGCCCCCAAGGAGGCAGCCAGTGCCCGCCCACCCCCTGTGTCCATGCCCAGCAAGGCCCAGCTGGGGCAGCCTGGGCTGACATAGCACTGCCTCTGCCTCTGGGCGGGTGCCCTGTGGTCATGAGTGGGGATGTCAGAGCTTATGACAGCCCACGCTGTCCACCATGGCCCGAATTCCCACGGGCGTTACCTGCCAGGGCCTGGTGGGTTTCCCCACTCACCCACAGCCACAAGGGCCCTTCCCCAGCCCACCCACCTCCCTGTCTTGATGGGCCCCATCCCCAGGCACTGGGTTCACATCCAGGGACCTCCTGGGTGATCTGGTCACTCTGGTCACAGGTGAGAAACAGCAAAGCCAGTGGCTACTGCTTGGACCAGGGGGCAGAAGATGATGACCGGGCCATCCTGTACCCATGCCACGGCATGTCCTCCCAGGTCAGGAGCTCCCTAGGTGCCCTTGGAGGCAGCTGACACAGGGAATGGAGGGCAAGGCCTTGGGTCACACAGGTCTCAGCAAATGGGGTGTGGTGTACATGCCTGTAATCCCAGTACTCGGGAGGCTGAGGCAGGAGGATCACTGTGAGTTCAAGGCCAGCCTGGGCTACATAAGTAAGTTCAAGGCCAGCCTGAACTGCATAGCAAGACCCTGTCTCAATACAAACAAACAAGTCCCCTGTCCCCTGCCTGGGTCCCTGAGTCAGGTCAGCCCCTGGGCATCCTGTGGATGGATAGGAGTGCAGGGTGTGGCCGTGGTGTGGCTGTGTCTGAGTACACAGCTGTCTCCACGTGGCCGCCCCCTGGTGTCCCCCTTGGCTCTCACTCCACCCTGGGTCACGTGGACACTGGACTGGACAGACATCTGTGAGGTCCAGGGCGGCCGAGGACCAGGGCCTGTTCGTAGCATGGTGGCCCTGGCACGGTAGTGGGTCCTGGTTGCACCGCTGAGTCCTGACGTTCAGTCCCGAGGTTCCACCTGCCACACCCACCATTCAGTCCTTGCATGTGACGTCCACGTCCTGGGGCTTTGTCTCCGGCACCTGTGGCCAGGACTGTGGGCACAGGGCTTGGGGTCTGGATTGCTTGGGCCTTGGTGTCTCCTCTCCTCCCTAGGCCTTGCCACCCTGCCCTGCCCTGCCCTGCCCGCTGTCCTCCCCCAGGGGTGGGGCTGCATCCCATGTCCCCCTAGGGCCCCCGCCACTCAAGGCTGCTGTCTCCCCAGCTCGTGCGGTACAGCGCGGATGGCCTCCTGCAGCTGGGCCCGCTGGGCTCCACCGCCTTCCTGCCCGACTCAAAGTGTCTGGTAGATGATGGCCGGGGCCGTACGCCCGCCCTGCGGAGGTGTGAGGATGTGGTGCGGCCAGCACAGCGGCTCTGGGACTTCACGCAGGTCGGCAGGGCCCCGACAGGGTGAGGGATGGGCCGGATCAGGGCAGGCAGGATTCGGGGTGACTCCAGGCAACTTCCGGCCTGGCCACAGGAGATAGATGCCCGAGCTGGCCCACTGATCCCCTAAAGGAGCCGCCCCTGTCCTCGCCCACCCAGTCCAGCCAGGCAGTGGGCTCCTCCCCAGCATCCCCCACCCCCATCTGTCCTTCCTCAGGGCCCCAGTGCTCAGTCACCTGTCCTGCTCAATGATGTCCAGGAGTCCTAGCATCCCAGGGCCATAGGAGTCTGAGGCCTGGGCGTGGGTTAGTGGTGGGTGGCAAGGACCAGCAAGGGACCTGTGGAGACTGCTCTGGGGTCACCAGGCAGGGACCAGGTTCACCAGTGTCCTGGGGGTGAGGGAACCAAGGACCTGGACATGTTCCTGATGCCTCTTCAATCCCTGAGAGCAGGCAGCAGAGTAGGCATGGCTGTCAGGGGATGCGGGACAGAGATAAGATGAGAGGACCTGGGTCCTGGGCCATGCAGGGGCCGGCCTGAGGTCTCCATAGTGGCCATGCAGGGTTTACCCCCCCCCCCACATGCCCTCAGGAAGGGCCCTGGGTCCCAAGCTGACTCAGTTTCTCCATTCAGGGTGGCCCCATTGTGAGCCGGGACACAGGCCGCTGCCTGGAGGTGGAGGTGTCCAAAGACGCCAACTTCGGGCTGCGTCTGGTGGTGCAGCGGTGCTCAGGGCAGAAGTGGACCATCCGGAACTGGGTCAAACACGGGCGGCACTGACCTCGCCCGCAATCCTCTTGCCCCACAGACCCTCGGGGCTGGGCCCCGACTCAGCGCATGGTCACCGCGCCAGGGGTACAAACCCCAGGGACTGGCAGTGCTGCCAGGGGCCTCCAGGGACGGCGATCGCGATGCCAAACACGTGCCTTTCCCGTGGTGTCCCCGACGGGCTGCGTGACAGCACCTTCCTGCATGTGCTAAGCCCTGTACCTAGCCCACGGGGACAGCACCCAGCTGGCCGAGGATGAGGACAAGGACGAGGGTGGCCCTGCAGCCATGCACCATGCTCCCACCCTGAAGGAGCAGACAAGGAACCCCCTGGCGCCCTGCCACCTGCCCAGCCCATCAGTGGCGCCTGTGGCCTAGTAGCACAGAGAGGGGAAAGAGCCCCCTCTGTGCCCCAGAAACCCAAAGCTGTGTTGTGGAGGCGCCAACCAGGCCGTGGCCAGAAAGCCATGGACAAGACCTGTGCCTGCTGGGCTGGGGGCTGCCTGGGAGTGCCTGCCGGGCCGGAGTCAGGGACAGCTGCTGGCCAGGGGTCCCAGCTCTGCCCCCACCCTCAGCCCTGGCTCCGGCTCTTGTTGCTTTCCTCGGCACAGGAGGTCAGGGAAGGATGTCCAGCCCCTTGCCTGTTTTTTAAATAAAGTTTTATTGGCACACGGCCCCTATGGCTCAATGTCATCCAGTGCTGCTTCATGGTGGCAGGTACATTTGTGCAGTTTCCAGGACCAGAGACACCTCCTCTCTGGCCTTCTAGAGAAATGCAGGCCCTGTGCCGTCCAGGTGCCAGCTCTGTGTCCCTGTCCCCATCCGGCAGTGGGGGGCCTTGCCACCCAGGGGTCAGGATGCAGGGTCAGGAGGCTGTAACACCTGGAAAGGGGCGGGGCCAGTATGGCCCATCCGCCCGTCCTGGGCCGTGCCGCCTTCCCCTGCCCTGGGTGGTCAGGGTGCTCATGACTGTCCCTTCGAAATCCCCTGGCTCTCCCCAGCCCTGGACCCTGTGCCCTCGGCTTTGCCTCCCCATCTCCACGAGAGACAGGGACCCCAGTCCTCCAGCCTCCGCAGGGCTTCTGCCAGCCTAGGCCCAGGGGAGTCCTTCAGATCACCCCAAAACATTTGGCGGCCAGCATGCCCCCAGAGCTGTTGCGAGCCCAGGGCCAGCTCCAGAGGCCGCATCACATGGAGTCCTCAGTGTGGTACCCTGCATGGGTCCCTGGCCCCAGGGGCGCCTGCGGCCCAGGGTGGGTCCTGCTCTGAACAGGGCCACCAGGATGGGTTATGCAGGAATAGACTCAGGAAAAGGGGTGGGAAGGTCCGAGGGAAGAGAAGGGGGCTGGGGCACCACTGCAACTCCAGAACCACAGTGCAGGGGTGGCTGGGGCTGGGAGGGAACCGCTGGGCCTCGGGGTCTCACCAAGCCGGGTCCTAAGCGTTCCCTGCCTGCCTGCCCAGTCAGTCGGTGTGTCCCTTTAAACCACAGCGTGTTTTACATGGCAAAGGGAAAAAAAAACCTAACTGGCTCCCATCGATGTCTTTCATCAATTCAACTGTAAATTGGCTTTGGAGTGAGCACAGAAAATCCACATCATTTATGTAAACCAGCCCAATCATAGCCAGACCTCAGGGCCAGCCGGAGCAGCTCAGGCAGGACGGGGGCGCAGCCCTGAGGCAGGGCCTTTCTGCCCTGGACGCTGGTGCCATGATCCCGCGCTGTCTTCACCTGCAGCCACACTGTCTGCAGCGGGGCCCATGGAAAGTGCACCTGGGGTCTACTGAGGACCCACTGGGGACCTGCAGGGCCTCCTGCAAGGCCCCAATCCTGCAACAAGGGAAGAGGCAACCCCAGGGTGCCGGGCGGGGGCTGTGGGGGTAGCACCGGCACCCAGAGCTGCAGGGAGAGGGTGCTGAATTCCTGCTTCCTTGCCCAGAAGGACAATGTGTGTGGTGGCCCATGCTTGTGGTCCAGAACTTGGGAGGCTGAGGCAGGAGGGTGGCTGGGAGTTCAAGCCAGCCTGAGCTACATAGTGAGTTCAAAGCCACCCTGACTACATAGTAAGACTCTACCTCAGAAATCAGGAACAAAACAAAAAGCAACAACAAAAACAGGAGGAGGATGGATACTTGCTGTAGTCTTCTGGGGGGGGGGGCAGAACCAGAATTGCCACTGCTTTTGAGACAGGGTCTTACTACGTATGTAAACAGGGCTGGCCTTGAACTCACAGAGATCCTCCTGCCTCAGCCTACTTGGTGCTGGAATCATAGACATGTGACACACGCCCAGTGACAGTTTCTGAATGGTACGCAGGAATCTCCCTCAGAGAACAAGTGTGTTTTGCCTGCCACCACTTGCAACTCGAACCCTGGTGAGCACTGTCCCTGTGGCTAGATAGGCTGGACTCTGTCCTGCAGTGGGCCTGGCAGAGGGGTGATCCTGGAGGTGATGTGGACCTGCAGACCAGGGACGGGCATAGTCAGGAGTTCAGTGAGGCGGGAAGGGAAGGGGCTGTGCAGAGCTGGGGCTGTCCCAAGGGAGGCCCTGCAGCACCAAGGCCAGAGCAGGCAGGGACCTGGCCGATGGGTTTCAGGGGGGCAGGGCGGGTGAGCGGTACTGTGTATCTGCTGGTGCCAAACTGTGAAGCTGCCACAGGGCCAAGCCACTTCCAGGCTCCCTGGTCTCAGGACAGCACAGCTGGTGGCCAGAGGGGTCAGGATGCACTGACTGAGCCCTACTGTGTGCTGGCCCCGTCTACACAGCCCAAGACCACAGCCTCTGTCCCATTGGAGGGTCACCTGCCCAGCACGTTCCTGGTACTGCAAATATTGTGTCATCATCTGACCACCAGAAGCAGCATTGTCACTGCTAAGCTTGGGGTCAGTGGCTCTCAGGCCCGGGAGAAGGGGGTGCCCAGAGGGCTGGGCCTCACCACTAGGCATCAGCCCCCCTGAGTGCTGGGACCATAGGGCTGCACCCCCATGTCCAGCTGGACTTTTGGCGGGCACGATCCAGGACAGTAAAGAAAGCCCCTAGAGACGGGCAAGGTGCTGCAGCATCACCAGAGCGGAACAGGGCTGCGTCCTCGGCGACAGACAGCCCTCCCCCTGCACGCAGCACGGGACACTGAGCGAGAAGACAGAGTACACTGCGCGAGGGATGGGGCCCTGGTGTCCACACAGTGGACCCGTATCAGCCCCAGGCTTGGAGCTGAAGCCACCAAGACCCACAAACCGGGGGCGGGAGGAGGGTGTGGCAAACCCCAAATGAACAGCCCTGTAGCTCCGGCCCTGCAAAGCGGGGAACCAGCAGCTAGACAAACTCGAAGCAGCAGGTGGTGGGGAAACCTCGGGACGGGAGTCTGAGGAATTGCAGGTGCAACCCTTGCAAGGACGGTCTGACCGGGAAGCAAGCAGGAGACGTTCGGTCAACCAGGGGCAGACCAGGTCCCAGCCTGACCTGAACAGCCGATACCCTCGAGCCCCTGAGCAGACAGTTCGCAACCACGAAACTCTTGAGCAAGGAAGCTCCGGGCCCACAGGGCTTGGACCTTCTACCAGACGCTTAAGAAGACACCAGTTCCAGGCAGTCTCTCCAACAATAAAGCAGGAACTTCCCGACTCATTTCATGACCCTAGTTATGTCTAGATATCCAAGTCAAAAACAGGCCAATATCTCTTACAGACATAGATGCAACTTCCTTAGCAAAATATCCTTAGCAGTGTGAGAAACCCCAATAGGCTGTTCCCGGGGATGCTCATGTTCAAACTGCATAACCCACGGCACTGGCACACCAGAGAAAAAACCCTGAAGCATCGATCACTGGGGAAAAGGATAAAAGCTGGTCTTCACCACGTAAGCCGCTGGGGTGCGGAGACTCCAGAGACTGAGGCTGGGGGACAGCGCAGACTTTACCTACCCACTGCAGGCATTGGGGGATTGGCAGCTGCTCTCTGAGGGGAGGCTAAGTATCTATAAGGTTAGGGCTGGGGTCACAGTTTCAAAGGATGCAGGTGAAGGGTTTGAAGTTAAAACAGCATGGTGCAGAGGGGACTGGGGCCAGGAGGCCTTGGGTCTGGCCCCCCATCAGTAGCAGCAGGTGATGTGCACACCCTGGGTATTGGGGCAGCCCTGCCCATGCCACAGACCGCCTCGGAGGGATCCTGGCCAGGTTGTCCTGTGACCAGGGAGGAGCAGCGATCAGGGGCCACAGGCCCTATCACCTGCCGTGCTGTCCTGTCTTTCACTGCAACTGGTGTCCCTGAGTGGCCGTGTGGCCTGCAGTCCACCCCGGCAGGGAAGGGCAAGGCCCCTATGGTGATACCCACTGCTTAGGCCACCCACTCAGTCAGTTCCAAGGTGCCGCGTGGCTCCATGTCTCTCAGGGCCCAGTGTGGAAGAGGAAGCATCTCCAGCCAGACCCTTCATCCCAACTTCAGTCAGAATGGTCTCTGCAGTAGGGGTGGACCTGGCTCTGCCTGGACACTTACGGGCAGTGAGACTTTGGGCAAGTGTCTCTCCCTTGCTGCCTCAGTTTCCCCCCACACAGTGGGTGCTCGTACTGCCCCTCCCTCCAAGGCTAGCTGTGAACATCAGTGCCGGCCTCCTGCACAGTACCAGTGCTGCAGGCCGTGGTCACCTGTCTGCTGCTGCCCCTTCCCGTTGACCATAGGTTCCTCTCATTGGGGTTTCCTGGGGTCTCCTGACGTTTCCCAGCTACGGCTGGTCTCAGAGCACAGGATGGTGAGGGCTAGTGCACTGCAGCCTATGGCAGTCCCAGAAGTGGGATGTGGGTGAGGGTGCTTCATTCCGGCTTTGGGCCAGACAGAGAGGCAGCAATGCCATGGGGTACACGGAGGGGGTGCAGACCCACAGCGGCAGGGGCCCTGGAGACGAGGGAGCAGCACAGGTGCCCGACAGAAAACCTCACAAAGCAAGTCTCACGACCAAGCACCCTATGAAAAACAGACGAGACCCAGGGAGCAATGGCTGTGTGAGGGGCCTGCGTCAGGGAGGGGGGCTGCGCCCAGGCACGAGACTGGGGGCACTCCAGGCTGCCAAGGGGTGTGGGCAGGCAGAGGGCACAGCCAGCCCATAGGACGCAACGTGGCTCAGGGTGCTCACTGCCGGACACTGACACCATGACAGCCAGTGGCTGGGATTCAGTGCCCAGTGCAGAGCAGACTGGAGGGCATGAGGTGGCAGTGGCATAGGCCATAATCTCCTGCACCCTGGCCACTGCCACAGGGACACAGCTGTAGTTAAGGTCATCACAGCTAGTAATTGTGGGGTGATGTCAGCAACTGGGGTGAGTCACTTAGCAGTCACCATTGTGACTCTGGAGTAAATGCATTTTATATTAAGGAGTGATTCATTTTAAACGAGAAAGCAGGTGGTACAGGTCTCTGCTGGGGCTGTGGGTGGCAGTGTCTGCATGGCCCCACCCCTGACCTCTGACAGGGTCCCCTAGACTCGGAGTCACCCGTGGGAAGCCGGGAGCCGCAGGTCCCAGCTGACCACCCTAGCTTGCTGTGTCCCGTCCCACCTGGTAGTGACCTCCCGCTCCCACAGGGCCATCAGCTTGACTCCCTCTCTGTCCCCACGACACAAGCCAGGATTCCTGGGCAGCCTCCTGACTTACAGTAAGGGTAAGTCAGGGTCTCCGATGTCAGGCAAGTGGGGCTTGGAGGGAGACCTGTCTACATTTCAGAGTCGGCAGGAGATACCACATCCTCCCCCAGGCACATAGCATGTGGGGCAGAGGCCATGGTCATGGGCGGGCAGCCACTGGACACTGGCGGAGCCAGGAGCAGGTATGCGCCAAGGGTCACTGCAGATGGGGAATGGGGAGGTTGCCCTGGCAGACTTTGGGTTTAATCACCAGGTTCTGGCCAGAGCCAGGGAGGGAGATGTGACCCAGTAGAGGTTAGAGGTCAGGGGTTGCCAGGCAGCTGACGGAAGGACGGAGGCTGTGCTGGGACAGGACGTGACCTGAGTGGCACAGCAACCAGGTGAGGGCCATGGTGAAGTTCGTCTCTGCAGCTGGGCATGGTGGCACATGCCTGTAATCCCAGCACTCAGGAGGCTGAGGCAGGAGGGTCACTGCAAGTTTGAGACCAACCTGGGCTACAAAGTTTAAGGCCTGCTTGAACTTCACAGTGAGACCCTGTCTCAAAAACCAAAACAAACGAAGAAGTGGAAAAAAGCAACAGGTCATTTCTGCCCTGGGAGAGCCACTCTGGGCAAGGGCTTCTGTGAGGAGGACACAGAACAAAGGTCAGGTGGGGGACAGGAGGCTGTGCAGGCAGCTGAGCATCCCCTCAATCCCCCACCTGCTCTGTGGGTGCAGCGACCCAATGGCGAGCCCAAGGGCTCCTGGGAATTGTTGCCATTCTTGGCATCCACAGATAGAGCTGAGCAGGGTGCTCAGGTGTAGCTAGAACAAGGTTTCCAAAAGGGGAAGAGGAGGAGGAGGGCTCCTCAGGGGCTGTGGGCAGGGCTGCGCCTCTGAAGGCCAAGGTTTGGTGAGCGCCCACAGCTGGGGACCGGGGCAGGTGTGGCCCAGTGGCATCTGGCTCAGCCCGAGCGCCAGTGGGTGCTCTGCCCATGGGAGGATGTAGAGGACACATCACTGTGTCCAAGGCCTTCGGGGACCCAATCCATGGGATGCAGGCCAGGGCACTGCCCTGCCAGGCTTCGGGGGTCTCAAGGGGTGGGTGACACTAAGCACTGGGTCCCTCCTATTCTCAGCCTCTATCTCTGCTCCGGCTCCTGGCTGCTCCTGGACCCTTGCAGGGCAGCACCCTCCCTGGGGTACACAGGGACAGGAAGGGGGGCAGCGCTCCATCCTCACAGGTTCCCCAACCCTACAGCAGCACTGATTGAACAGCCGCTCATTCGACAACCCAGGCAAGGCGGCAAGAATGCCAGCGACCACGGAGGAAAGGCAGTGACAGGGCCACAGAGGAGGGCGGGCCTGGGTTCGGCCACAGCCTGTTGGGCCAAGGAGGCCCTCAGGCTGCGGCAGAGCCGCAGGATGACAAAGGGTCACCCCTTCCCTGCTGACCAAGAAGCCCATCAGGCCATAGCACTCCAGGCCCTCAGGGGAAGGTTCAGCCCCAGGATCCCCTCCTCAGCCAGGCCCGTCCGTACGGCTCACGAAGAGGGACAGGTCACCACTCACCACTTGGGGGATAGGAAACCGGGGCCCAGATGCAGACACTGACAGCGACAGGCACACAGCCACACCGCCGCCAAGCGCCCTTGTTACCACAGGGCTGCCGCCAACACACCCTGGGGTGCAGTCAGAGAGGCAGGTGCTGGGGCATGGCAGGAAGGGTGCCTCTCCCTGCCCCCCTCCACCGCTTCCTGTCCCTCAGTGGGCCTGTGCCGCACCACCCTGCCTTGGAGCAGCCAACCACGCAGGGCTTGAGATTGCCAGACACAGGCCAAGACGCGCTCTCAGGCCCACCCTGTGTGATCAGGGCCAGGTCCCAGCTCAAGGCCCACACACAGCCCTGACCTGATGCACTGCTCCACCCTCAGCGACAGGTGCAGACCTAGGCGTGTCCAGACAGATCCACACACACGTTCACTGCACATGGTCACGGCAGACTGAGCCATGGCAACAGACAGAAGGATGGATGGTACGTCCACACAGACTGCATGTGTTAGGGGTGGACGGACGAGTTGATAAATGCACAACAGGTGATGACCGAGCTGCATTCAGTACGCTTCCCTTCTGCAGGTCCACTGGTCACCTGGGCAGCACCTCACCCTGGTCCTCAGTGCCCCGCATGCGGGTGACACAGGCTCCCCAGCTCTCACAGCAACTTTCACTGTGGCCATAGCACCTAGGGGTCTCTGCTGGTCCAGGGGGAAAGCTGGCAACAACTGATGAGGTCTCTGGGGACAGCCAGGCATCTGGGGCACACACAGATGGTCAGATATCCGGTTCCCGCAGCCCACGTGCTATAAAATGCACCCCAATGCCTGCTGCAAGTTGTCACCAGGACACAGCACCTGACACAAGCATCCTGTGACTGCAACCTGACTGCCCAGCAGCCATACCGTCAGCAGGTCCCGCATGAGGGAGGACAGGGTCCCTGCACCTGGGTGTGGCAGGTGGTGCTCTGGAAACCTGGTGGGTCTGACACCAGGCCATGGTGAGCACCTCAGGTCCTGACTCAGGCACTGGGCAATCACCAGCTGCTTCTGCAACAGATGGATAGGCAGCAGTGGGAGTCACCCCAAACCCCACAATCTGTGCATATCACACTGGGGTAGAGGGCACAGCCCACGTGGGCCCTCTGGTGCCTGCCTCACCTATGCCGAGAGGAGCTGCTCAGGCCCTGGCAATCCTCCTGTCTCGGCCTCCCAAGTAGCTGGGACTACAGCCCTCACCACACCCAGTGACCTGGATGCTGGGGCGAGGTTAACTTCACGTGTATGTTTGTCCCCAATACCAAAGGGCCACATCCATGTTAAAGATTAGCATTGATCTGGATTTTTATAAAGGAGTTTTCAAAAATGCTGACTCGCGCGAGGTGACAGGCTCAGAACCGTGAACCTTGTGTCGGGTATGACCTGTGAGCAGTGAGCAGGCTCAGCGGGCACCAGCAGCTCCCATCACAGCCCATGGGAAGTGGGATGCACAGGGGGCCATATCTGCAGGGCTTAGTGATTTTCTCTTCCCAATTTGCCAGGAAGCCCGAGGCCCAGCTGTCCCAGGTGGCCTGGGGTGGTGGCTGCCAGGATTTGGAATGCCAGCTCCTCCCAGGCTGCAGCCCCAGGACCCTAACCTGAGTGCTGTGGGGGCAGGGCGGGGTGCACAGCCAGGCCTCCTGACCCAGGCGTGAGGGTTACAAGGGGCAGGGCATCTGTCCTGCAGCCAGTGGTGCTGTGGGAGGCTGACAGGGCACTCGGGGCTCCCCACGGCCAGGCTTCCAGTGGCCCACATCCTGGGGTAACCAGGGCAAAGCTGCCTGGGGGGGGGGCAGTGCCTAGGCCCCATGGCAGAAGCCAAACTAGCCTGAGGGTGACTGAGGAAGGAAACAGGGAAGGGGCAGCCTTGTGTCGCCTCATCGCCCACAGCTAGAATCACCTCTGCTCCACCACCATTCTGTCCCCTGAAGTTCTCCTGGGCACATGCAGGATGCCCAGCTCACAGAGCAACCACCTCAAGAACAGAGGGGCCAGGTGTGATGGCACAATTCCTGTAATCCCAGCACTTGGGAGGCTGAGGCAGGAGGACCATTGCAAGTTCAAGACCAACTTGGGCTGGGCTACTAAGTGAGTCTAAGGCCAGCCTGAACTGCACAGCGAGACTCCGGCTCAAAAAGACAAAAGACAAAAAAATAAAAAAACAGAAGAAAGCAACCACAAGGCTGCCATCCCAGGGTAGAGCTCAGGTGGGTAGGGCACACAGGGAACGCAGCGGGCTTCACGGGCAGGAGCTGCCCAAGCCAGGGCAGGGCCCTCACACATGGGAGTCCTAGAAGGAAACCTCAAGAGCTGGGCTCTCCCAGGGTGCCCAGGGCTGGGCCCAAGAACAGGCCAGGGTGGAAGGGGACGACAGCTGTAGCCACGGAGAAGTTCAGAGCAAGGGGACCCTGAGTCTCAGTGGCATTCACCCCCTCCCACGCCCAGAGGTCACCTGCCACACTTGTACTCGCATGGCAGGCATCACCTGGGCTACTGTCACCCTGTGCCACCCCTGCAGCTCTGCCAACCCACCCTGTGCACCCTGACCACCTCCTCTGCTGGGTGGGGTGGGGGCAGGTCAGCTGAGCGTGAAGAGCTGGGCACAGGTGTCCTCTCGCCGGCCCAGCAGGCCCTGTGCAGGAATGAACTCCAGTGGCACTGTCTCAGGCGGCTGCTTCCTCAGCTCCCGCTCGAACATCTGAAGAAGGGGGGACTGTCAGCCCTGACTGGCACCCAGAGTCCCTCCCGTGTGGCCCTGGGCTTACCTCATAGGCTGTGAGCTCCAGGAGAGGCGCGATGCTAACTTCGGGGACGGACAGCGCCTGGTTGATGACGCTGGCAGCTCGGGACACCTCGGGGTGGTAATGCTGCTGTAGGGTCTGTAGGGCCGGGCACGTCAGAGCCTCAGGCCTCGCGTCCTCCCCATTCCTGGGTGTATGCCCAGCCCATGTGCAAAGGGATACATGGTGCCCCAGAGTCCGGGCATGGGTGGCTCTGAACAAACAAGGCCGTCACCAGGGACAGATGGGGCTTCAGGAAGGTGGCTCCAGGTGACCAGGGTGCACAGGGCCAGGCGTGGGGCAGGGGGTCACAGCACCCTCACCTGCAGCTCCCACAGGCAGCTCTCCAGGGCCCGGCTCTTTGCAGGGTCTGCCTCCTCAGGATCGTAGGGGTCAGCATCCAGCTCTAGAAATGAGATCCAGCCCATCTGCTGCCTAGTCTCCCTGGGACAAGGGGGCCTGGCCGGGTCCTCATCAGACACTTGGCCCACCCAACTCACCAGCGCCCCCTGGGCGGTGCACCAGGACGCGGCAGGCTGGGTGTCTGCGCAGCAGGTTGCAGATGAAGGGCAGCACCATGAGCAGGGCCTCGGGGGGCGCCGTCAGTGCCAGGCGAGAGAGGCGCTTGGCGAAGGCAGCCACCAAGTATGCAGGCAGGTGGCTGGGCAGGGAGGGGGCATCATAAACCAGCAGCCTCCTTCCCGCCCTGGCTGAGGCTGAGCCCTTCACCCCATACCAGGCAGCTCAGAGGCCTAGTGAGTCCCCTCAGACACACAGGGCACACCCCAGGCACTCACGAGGAGGACAGGAAAAGGTCGGCCAGGTGGAAGAAACGGGCCCGGTACTTGACGTGGAAAATGGATGGGTCCAGGAGACTGTAGAGCTTCTGGTAGAAGTCGGGGTACTCCCTGAGGGAGAAGGCCACAGGACCACCTGCTGGGTGAGCCAACAGGAGGCGGACTAACCAGGCCCCAGGAACTGAGGCTCCAGCCCCACGCCTGCCAGCTTCTCCAGCCCCGGGCCCAGTGACACTCACAGGTTGTGCTGGTGAATCAGGATGAAAAGTCCATTCAAGGCCAGGAGGCTGATGGCACCCCCTGTAGAAAGGCAGCCCTGAATTCCAGGCCCAGAACAACCCTCAGTGGCACAAGGCTCAGGCGGCTGCCCACCCACTGTCTTCCCTCCCAGGTCGGAAAGGCAGAAGCAGGAGCTGCCCATCAGCCACAAAGTTCCACCACAAGACAACATGAAAAGAGTCCAGCCTCCACCAGCCTGCAGATCCTCACCCACCACTGCTGCTCGTGCCCCAGCCTGGCAGTGCCCACTCACCCACATCACAGGCACTGGTGAGGAAGTCGATCATGAGGGTGGGCTGGGCTAGGTGGGGAAGGATGGTGTCGTGCATGGTCACCAGGACCTTCTTGTAGAGACTGAGGGGCAGCTGGGGTAGACATGGGCAATCAGCGTATGGCAGCCTCCCCCAGAGCCTGCAACCCAGTGGCCCGACCCCAAGCCCTACCTTGTGCTTGAGGAAGCCGAGCCACATGGCCTGGAACGTCTTCCTGTGTTCCTGCAATGGGGCCAGGCTGTTCAGTGCTCCCCAGATGGCCCAGTTCAATGTACCAGGCCTCCTTATCTGGGTGCTAAACATAAGAAGCCCAGGGCATGGTGCAAAGCACCAGCCTTGGACATGGTGGGGAAGGAGCCTCAGCACAGAAAGTACATGTGGCCCTTAAAGATGAAGAGCAGAGGGGGCCCTGGTTTAAAACCAGCCAGGAGGGACTTTGTGGAAGTGGCCCATGTCAGGCTGAGGTCTACCTACCCAGGAGACTGCCCAGGCCCCCACACCTCTCACCTTCAGATGAGTGACCTTCCACACGTCTGATGGCTCTGTGGGGAAGGAGGGAGCCAACATTTACCAGCTGGAAGGCAGGATGGAGAATGTGCCCAGCTGCTGCTCTGCCCACCACAACAGCCTCTCAGTGCTCACCCGAGTGCTTCACATAGAAGTTAGTGGCGTCAAGCTCCTGGCAGGGCAGGCTAACGGCTGACAGCAGGGTGAAGGCATTGTTCCAGAAAGCGAGGGAAACCTAGGAAGCCTGGCCTGAGCACCTTCACGCAGCTCGCACCACCCACCCACCCAGGATCAGCTTGTCCTCACCTCAGGATGCTGGCTGGTGACTTGGGCCACAGCATCAGAGGCCGCCTGCATGGCGTGGTAACGGATGTCATCAAACTCCAGGTACTCGCGGAACTGGGAGAGCAGCAGGCTGTGGTCTTGTTCTGGCGAGAGCAGGCTTCCCACCACTATCTGGGGCAGGAATGGGGTGAGCACCTCTTCCTTGGGCAGGGGCGGCGCAGCAGTGCTGTGAGTCACATCCTATGCCAAGCCCCTCTCCACAGCCAAGGGAAGGGTCCCAGAGCAGGACAAGTAGGGAGCGTCACATCCACCACCAATGAATGGCTCAGGCAGCCCCCTCCCAGGGCACCCCAAACTGCGATCACCTTGAAACGCCTCACCTTGAAAAGCGTGCGGGGGAACAGATACTGGCCTTCCCACTTGGGCTTCTCGAGGGGATGTACCCCTTCCAGCTGCACAAACTTCATGAGAGTCTTGAGTGCCAGTTCCTGAGAAGTGTGGGTAAAAGTGACCCAGAGCTCACCTCACCCATGAGCTCTCAGTGTAGCCCAGGCCTCTATGGTGGGATGACAGGGGAGCCTGGCCTTATGCCTGCCCACAAGGTGTAGTGATAGGGATGCGATCTCACCACACTAACTCACAGAGCTTAGAACAGACCCAGCATCCAGCCCAGGAAGCACACAAAAGCCAGGTCTGTTGCTTATCATCCGATTGTCAAAATGCCACACAAACCCTCAGGACACCCAGGGAAGCTCAAGTACGAGAAGCCAGTAGGGTGCTGATAGATCACAAGGCCCAGTGCTAGAACCAAACGTACAAATATAACATTTTCAGGACTAGACCACAGTATCATGACATGAGCGAAGTGCTCGAGAGAGGTGTGGCGTGGGGGCATACCTCAACAGGTACAAAAAGTATCCCCCATCCAGAGCCATGGGCTCACTTTGTGGAAGGCCTCAGAAATGGGCATACTGGGACAAATAAAGACAATGTGAGTCCAATGACCCAAGACTCACCTTGACCTTGAAAGTGGGGTGGGCCAGGAGCTCGCCTAGGTGACTGCAGCAGCTGTGATAGCGGTGTCGCATCCAGATCTTGTACTTGCGCATGGCTCCGTGGGACCCTATATAGGGAGGGGTCAGGGTGGCCATCCCATGCTGATGGCAACAGCCAGGCCAAATCCACCCCACCATCCCATCCTCTGTTTATACACAGGAAACAGGCAGCCCCTGACCCAGGTTGGGATCAGTTATCCCCAGAACCCTATAAAGAGAGGCAACAGGTCTATACCCCAGCCTAGTGCCCAGAGGCAGGGTCTCCTTCCCTTCACTTAACCTCAGAACCTGAATGTCCCAAAGACTGTGACAGACGACTCCAATTTTAAGTGACATTTAGTATGCTACACAACATGGAATACAAAATCCTACACTTAGCCCTCATCCCTTTAGATCAGGCAGCAGAGGCAGTCTCAGTCCCTTCCAAGGTGGTCTGGGCTGATGACAGCGCTTGGGGGCCTCACCCATGTTGACCAGGCTCTCTTCAGACCCCAGACATGCACCCCAGCCCCCTCCAGGTCGCTGACCTGCCAGAACCGTATTCTCGGGAGGCAGCTGGCCCACAAACAGCTCTCCCCGCTCCAGCAAAGCCCCAAAAAGTCGGCTGCACGTGTGGATTGCTTCCTGGATCTCCTCCGGGTCCTCAGCCTGCGACGGGAGGCCGGACAGGGTGACTTCGGTTGCCGCGTGGCCTCAAGCCTCCCACCCAACCCACACCCGGCTTCGGAGCCCTGGCAGCCCAGCCCTGGCACGCGCCCCGCTCACCTGCAGCACGGCCAGAATATCGAACACGGCATTGGCTTCACTGCGGCTCGCCAGTACTGCCTGCAGCAGGCGGCCCAGCGCCCGGCGTGAGCCCTCGGGACTCGGCTCCCGCTCCATGCCGCCACTCGCCGCGCGGAGTAGCCGGCGTCTACGACTTCCGGGCCGGCGCGCTCCTGACGTCACTCGGCGCGCTCGTGGCGTCATGGCGCGCGACCGGAGGTGCCATACCTACTACCTCATCACTGCGCGCCGAGGAGCTGCTGCGGCGCCGGGCGGCATGGCGTTGTTCCATGTTGCGCGGTACCGGGACCCCGAGGCGGCAGACCCGGAGGGGGCAGAGGCCGAGGCGAGCGGCCGGGCTCGTGCGCTGCTCGAGCGGCTCCAGAGCCGGGCTCGAGAGCGGCAGCAACAACGGGAGCCCGCGCCTGCCGAGGCGGCCGCGCAGGCGTCAGAGGTAGCTGGCAGGCGGCGGCGCCGGCCCCGGCGCAGGCGGCGGGTGAACGGTGGGGCAGCCGGGAGCCCGGACACACGACTGAGGAAGCGACGCAGAGCGGAAGGCGAGGACACAGACGCAAGTGGTTCGTGCGCGGGCGCGGGATGGGGATAGGGGCACAGGCAGGGTAATGGTCTTCCTGCCCGGCCGGTAGCGAAGCTGACGCCGCCTCGGTTTGTCTGCCGCGCAGGCAGCAGCGAGGAGGCGCTCAAAGAGCACAGCGCGAGCCACGAGGCCCCGGCGACTCTAGACAGTGGGGTCCCGGAGGCAGCATCCAAGGCCCCGGGTCCTACGCCGGTGCTGGGCGGCTTCTCGAGGAGGAAGGCGCCGAAGGTGAGGACGAGGGCGAGAGCGAGCGGTCGCGGAGGGGAGCCGCCTTCACAGAGGAATGACTGGCGGCGCGCAGGTTGCTGACTCCTGCAGGGCCCCTTGCTCTGTGGGCCTGCCTGGCGGCAGCGCAGCCACCAAATAAGTAGTTGGGTAGTGAGACCTTGGGCCAAGGCAACTACTGAAGCAGAACATTTGGTGGAGCCGTTTAGGTCTTGGAACTGGGACTTAGTGGAGTCAGCCGGGGCGTGGAGGCCTAGAGGCAGGGAGGATCTGGGAAGCCACTGCAGGCGGGCCCGGGGTCTCCTGGGGTGTTGGGAAGCCTGGGTGGCTGTGCTCAGAGGAGGGGAGCGCTTGTTTCCATGTTGTGTGGAAAGTGTCGAGGAGCAGTACTGCGCTGCCGTCCTCGCAGGGTCCCTTCCTCCAGCCTTCTCTGCTTGTGTTCTTGGTTCTTGCCTGCTCTGCTCCCCACCTTGGAGAGCTCTGGGGAACTATCCTAGTTTCCTTCTCCTACTGTTTGGGGTAGGTCCAGCCTTTCCTGCCAGCGTGGTTGGCCAACCCCAGCTGTGTCAAGAAAAATGTCACCAAGGACCTTGTTCCCATCGAAGACATTCCTGAGGTGCACCCTGACCTGCAGAAACAGCTGAGGGCTCATGGCATCTCAGCCTACTTCCCAGGTGCCCCAGCCATGGGCAGGTGACAGGTGGGACAGTCCCAGGGCAGCCTCCTGGGACTGAGATATAGGCACAGGGGCTTACACTTGGTGGTGTTCTGGGGCCCCAGTAAGCGCCCAGGGCTCCTCCGCACCCCTCTCGGCATGGCCCTGTCTGGGAGCTGGAAGTCCACGGAGAGGGTGGCTAGGTCTGGTGTGAGTCTGACCCAACCCCCATGCTTCCTGTTCAGTCCAGGCAGCCGTGATCCCTGCTGTCCTGGAGAGTTCGGCCAGTGGGTTTCTGGTGGGTAGAGGTGGCTACCAGCCTAGTGACCTCTGTGTGTCTGCTCCAACGGGCAGTGGGAAGACTCTGGCCTTTGTCATCCCCGTGGTGCAGGTGGGTATGAGGCTCTCCTCTTTCCAGTCCTAACTTAGTGGCAGGGAACTGGCCCTTTTGACACTAGTGCCCCTGCTCCCTGCAGGCCCTGCTGCATCGAGTGGTCTGCCACATACGTGCCCTGGTAGTGCTGCCCACCAAGGAGCTGGCCCAGCAGGTACACTGCCTCATACCTGGAGGTCCAGGCCCCAGCCACCGCAGCCCTGTGGGAGACCCAGGCTGGACTTGAGCCCGGTAGTGATTGAGTAATACCTACCTCAGGCTGGTGACACTTTCTGTAGGTGAGCAGAGTGTTCAATGTCTACACTGACGCCACGCCCCTGCGGGTCGCCCTGGTTACTGGACAGAAGCCACTGGCCAAGGAGCAGGAGAGCCTTGTCCAGAAGACGTAGGTTTTGCAGCATGGTGGGCTTGGGGAGGCACCTGCTCTGTCTGGCAGAGGCTCTGTATTGGGGCAGCCTCAGTGGCAACAAGGAAGCTCCTTACTGTCAGAGGAGCATGCTTTGGGTCCCTGTGGTTTACAGAGCAGATGGCTACCGCTGCCTGGCTGACATTGTGGTGGCCACACCTGGCCGCCTGGTGGACCACATCGACCAGACCCAGGGATTCAGCCTCCAGCAGCTGCGCTTTTTGGTAGGCCTGGGCCAAGTGAGGGTTGCCTGGGCCCAAATGAGTGTTGCCTCGGCCCAAGTGAGAGTTCCCTGGGCAGGGAGTCCCCAGCAGTCAGTGCAGCCCTGCCCCCGCAGATCGTGGACGAGGCTGACCGCATGATAGACAGCATGCACCAGTCCTGGCTGCCTCGGGTAATGGCGGCTGCCTTCCCCTGCGAGGGCCCGACTGACCCTGCAACCCTGCTGCAGAGACGGCGGGCACCAGCTGTGACTGCTGCCAGGTACCCACCGCCCTCGGCGGGTGCTCTGCGGTACTCTCCTTAGCTAGGGTGGTGCGAGGACCCCGTCTTGCCAGCACTCCCTCCCTCTCTCTTCTAGTACCTGCTGTCCCCAGATGCCTCTACAGAAGCTACTCTTTTCAGCCACCCTGACCCAGAACCCCGAGAAGCTGCAGCGGCTCGGTCTGTACCTGCCCCGACTCTTCTCCACGCGGCTGGCACACAGGGCCCTTGAGGATGACACCGCGGGCGGGGACCCAGAGGGGAAGTACGCCTTCCCTTCGGGGCTCACGGTGAGTGCCGAGTGTGCAGGTGGAGGACCAACAGGCAGGGCTCCTGGCCAACCTGTGCTGTCCTCCGCAGCACCACTACGTGCCCTGCAGCCTGAACGCCAAGCCACTCGCCATCATACACCTGGTCCTTGGGATGAGCATCTCCAGGACCCTCTGCTTCACCAACTCCCGGGAGAACTCCCATAGGTGGGTCTGGCGTGGTGTGCATCGGGCAGGCAGGTGGGTGGGCTCCAGGTGCCTGGCTTAAGCCCTGTCTCTGCCCAGGCTCTTCCTGCTCGTGCAAGCGTTCGGAGGTGTGAGTGTGGCGGAGTTCTCTGCCTGCTATGGGCCTGGCCACAGGAGGAAGATCTTGAAGCAGTTTGAGCAGGGCAAGATCCAACTGTGAGTTCTTGGTGGGTAGGGGTGCCACACGCATGTGCATGTGTGCACACGTGCAGGCACGTGAGAGGCCACTGTGTGGAGCTGGGTGCCTGCCGGAACTGGGCTCTGCCAGCCAGTGCCCAGTGTGGGAGACTTTGCGTGCTCTGTTCCCACAGCCTCATCAGCACAGATGCCACTGCCCGAGGAATTGATGTGCCAGGTGTGGAGCTGGTGATCAACTACGATGCCCCACAGTACCTGAGGACCTACGTGCACCGGTAGGACCTGAAGTGGGGTGGCTCGGGGACTGGGCCTGGGCACTGCCTGGTGAGGCCATGGGTTCTTCCTTTGGAGCAGTCAGTCCTGCATTGAAATCCAAAATCAAGGCCATGTTTGGTCCCAGGGTCGGGAGGACAGCGCGAGCAGGCAGGATGGGGCGAGCTTTCACGTTGCTCCTGAAGGTGCAGGTGAGTGCGGGGACCCACGTTCCTCGGGCACTGGGGTGGGATGAAAACCCGTCCTGACACTCAAGGTCCCTTCCTTCAAGGAGAGGCGGTTCCTCCGGATGCTGGCAGAAGCTGGTGCCCCTGAGCTGGTGCGGCATGAGGTCCCCAGCAAGCTCCTGCAGCCACTGGTGCCACGCTACGAAGAGGCCTTGTCCCAGCTCGAGAGGGTGGTGAAGGTAAGATCTGGGCTGTCAGGGACAGAGGAGTGTGGGGCGGCCCATGGGTGCCAAACTTGCCCCCTACCCCTGCAGGAGGAGCTGAAACAGAAGGCCGCCTAGGCTGGAGACCGGTGGAACCCCCCTGCTGGCAGATCGCGCCACCTCTCTGGTGCCCTCAGAGGAGGGGAAACCAAGTCTTGAACAGGGGCCTCTGGGAAACCGAAGGCCGGCTGTGCCCGCATGTGCATGCGGAGAACAATGGTCAGCATCCTGCTGCCTCTGGGGAGGCCCAAAGGGCGAGAGGAGAGGGCAGCCTGACGCCTTGGCCTCTGGCACCATCGCCCTTCACTGCCTTGTCTGGGAGAGTGAGACGGGCAGCCTGTGAAGCCGGGGGAACTGGGCTGAGCAGCCCTTGGCCCTCTGTGTGAAAGCAGTAGGCAGCAGTGCCCCAGCTGGCCCTCACTGTCCTTGGGCAGGATAGGGTGCATGGCAGCTTCAGCCTTGGCTTAGGGAGGCCCCTGCCAGTCCCCACCCACCCATGGCCCTTCGGGACCCCTACTCAACATTCCCTCCTCCCTGCAGCAATTCAGAGCTGCCCAGGTCAGGTCCGCGTGGCTTCCTTTGGCGCAGGCCACCAGGTGGGTTTCGGGGGGCTTGCTGGCTTCCCTACACAGTACCTGATTCCAAAGCAGCTGGGTGGGGTGGTGCACCCTATCCCTCCAGCAGCTGGAGCTGACTGAGGTGAGAGGATCACAGGCAACTCCTGCCTCAGAAGACAAAAACCTGTCTCAACATGGTATGTGGGATTTTTTCGGTATCAGAATAATCTTAACCAGGACAAGAGTGAACTGACAGGTCACTTTAAAATTGGTAGTATCGAGACATGGTGGTATGTACCTGTAATCTCTGCACTCAGGAGGCTGAAGCAGGAGGATCACTGAATTTGAGGCCAATGTGAACTACAGTGAGATCCTATGTCACACAAATTGTAATAAGGAAATTTTATTATTAAATGTTTGGTTCACTTTATTGGGTTTAAATGGTTTCTAGTCCTCAGGCAGAGGTACATGTCAGTAATCCCAGAACTCAGAAGGCTGAAGCAGGAGGATCGATGTGAATTTGGGACCAGCCTAAGCCATACAGTGAACCTTCTATCTCAAAAGGCAAAACAAAATTTTTTTTAAAAAGAAGCATATTTCAACTAGAAACATGCTTCAGTTCATGAATTTCATCCCCATGATGCTGGTCGCAAACAATTGGTTGTAGACTGAATCAAACTCAATAGTTAGGTTCAGTGTTGAGCTGGAAAAATGTGCTTGGGTTTGAGACCAGAATTGTGGGAGAACTAAGTTTGTGAGCAGAGGCACGGCTGCACCTTACACAGGAAATGGCTGCTGCGGGGCTGGCTGGGGCTGGCACTGTCTCACCCACGCTGCTGGGCATCTAAAACTAGATGGAGCAGCTAGCCGGGAGCCAGCAGGATGGTCCCGAGGGGAGCACGACCCGGCCTGGGGGAAGGGCACAGTCCCCTCAGACCATGCATGGCCAGTAGCCCCCATCAATACGCATGCCTGGCTCCCTAGCACGTGGCCTGCAACAGAAACATAGGTTGTGCTGCTCACCGCATGTGAGAACTGTGAAGCCCTGTGTCTCCCTTGTCTTGGGCACAAGTGGCAGCTCTGGCTTCACCAGTACCACACACAATGCCATCATCTGTCTTCACAGCTGGGCTTGGCTGGCCCTAGACATGTGGGGCAGCTGGAAGGGACACTACAGAAGAGTCCTACACATGACTTTGTCCACGGTGTGGGGTAAGCCCCTAGGACACCCACCGTGGAAGGGATGGTCAGCAGTCATGTGACTGCTGCCCTCCCGATGACAAGCCCAGAGGCGCCTACATCCCAGCAGCTGAGGTGGCACCATGCCAGGCCAGCTTCCTGCAGAAGGCCATACTGTGGGGCCAGGCAGCAGGGCCAGCCTCTGCACAAGCCCAATTCTCAGTCCCCCACTGTGCCCTGCAATGCCAAGGCCCTGTTGGGGTCCATGCAGAAGCTAGGGTGCCAGTGGCTGGGTGGCACTACTGTGGTTAGATGCAGCGCCAGTAGGAGCTACCCATGTAGGGGACCACTTACAAGTCTCTGCACCAGCATTCAGGCCGCTCCCCACGTGTGACTATCGTGCCACTGTCTGCAGCTGCGCTAGCCCAGGTGAGGGCGGGCAAAGCTGGAGCCCCACCTGGCTTCAAGCCAGGATAGGTTTGGGGCACCCCTGGGCTCGGGAGTGCTACTCCACCTCCACCTTGGCAAGGTGCCCTGCTTATTAAACGTGTGCGGAAGCGTTTGTCCTCTGAAACATTTTTTGTTTAAAACAAAAGCAAAGTCCAAAAGAAAAAAATAGCAGTAGCCCTGTGCCACCTGGCAGCAGTGCTGGCACAGGGGGGTCAGGAGGCCACCCCTCCCACTGCTCAGCCATGGCTGGGCAGGGGGCACTCCACACCAACACAACTTGTGTTTCCTTTCACATAAATGAAAAACAACCGAGTCTTCTATGCAACACCAAACTGAAAAGTATATAAAAAGGTCATTTTATTACGTCTTTTGCCTGGGAAACATCAGTGCCCTTTAAAATCCTACTCTTCAAGTACAAATGCTTCTGTTTACAAAATATTTACAAATTCAGACTTGTTCCTTACATTTTGAAACACAACAGCTATCTGGTTGCAATGGTGAACAAAAACAGTAACAACTACAAAAAAGCCCTGCCCCACATACCTCTGCAGAGCCCCACAGGTGGCATCTGGGTGCCATTGGCCCACACTCTGGAAACCTCTGACTCATGACATGCCGCATGGAGCAGCGGTCCTGGGCAGCGCTGTGCCAGGAGCTCTCGGAGGGCTCTGCTCCCTGGCCCCTCCAGGTTCCGCAGCACGTAGATGGGACACAAAGCGGTGCAGATAGCAGGCTCCCGTGAGGATGGTGCCAGGGACTGACTCCAGCGCTGGTCCCTCCGCAGCTTTTCAACATTCCTTTTTTGCTTTCTTCCCGTCAAAAGCTGAGAAGGGAACTCCAGTGGGCTCCTGCCCACAGCCTGCCACTGACGGAGACACAGGAGACTGCGGCAGGGGGACCGTGGGGTACCCTCCACAGGAGACAGCCCTGATAGAGCCAAGCTCCTGGCCCGCATGCACGGCTACCACAGGCAGGTGCCGCTGACAGGGACTCTTGGCGGAGGCCAGCAGCTATGGGGCTGGGAAAGCCATGTGCACCACCTGGCATGGTGACAGCAGAAGTGGGCACTGAGGCCAGGCTGCTCCCACTGATGGCTAGGGCCTTGAGTAAGCGTGGCAGTGGGGACAGAAGGCACTGGCCACTGTGTGCCCACCCACCCTGGGTACATGGGTGCTGGCCTCCAGGCCAACTCTGTGGCCTTGCTCCCGGCTCTCGCTGGCCACCTCGCCTGTCACATGCTCCTCATGGTGCCAAGCACACCCTGGGACACATGCCCCAACGGAAGTACCGCCAAGCCTGGAGGCTGTACACCAGGCCCCCACCCTGAAGCGCCCTTCACATGGAAGCCCTGCAGCAGGCAGGGAGCCAATGCCCATCAGTTGGTCCCCACCCTCACACACACACCGCTGGGCACCGCTCATGGGATCTGGGTGGGCATCAGGACAAAATTCATTTGTCAGGTACAGGTCCTTGGAGTGCTAAGCCCGTCCCAGGCAGCCTAGTGAGGGTGGGAAGGATGGACGGAGCCAATAGGACTGGACTGCATGTGTGCTGTGTGCGCCCTGGATCCTGGAGGCAAAGCACTGCACGCAGCAGACGCTCTGAGGACTCGGGTGGCTGAATGAGATGACACTGTGGCTCGCCCCTATGGCAGCCACACAGCAGAGAGGGCACTCCTCCCACAGCACACGGTACATCCACAGATTGTGGTGGTGCTGTCACTACGATGGCATCCTGCCACCACTTGCCTCCCATGATGCTCTCTCCTGGCTCCTGCCTATTGGCATGGAGGCTTGGTGGGTGTCTTCAGCCGCACTGCAGGAACCCGCATCTGCAGCTTGGGCTGCTGCCCAGGGCTGTCGGAACTGGCTGGGCCCTGTGCGGGGCTCGGGCCACCTGGAGTCTGCAGTGGGGCAGAGGCCGTTGTCACCACCTGCTGCTGTATGAGCTTCTGCTGCACCACCTGCGCGGTTGCTGTCACTGCAGGGATCATCTGCACCTGCTGCCCAGCTGCTGTGGCCTGCGTGAGTGTCACCGTCTGTGGGGAAGCCTGGCAGGGGACAGGGAGTGCTCATCACCAGGATGGCTCAGGGTCTGCGCTGCACGAGGGCCTCTGCCTCTTAGCGGGATGGGGGCGGGGTGGGGCCACCACTGGGCCACAGGGCCTGCGCTTCCTGCCTTCTGAGAAGTTTCTCTCACTGTGTAACCCCGACTCCACGAGACCTCAGTCCCACCTCAGCCATCCCTGGTGCTAAGACTGCAGGCCTGCATCCCCATGCCCAGCTGGGGCCTCTGTTTCTCAACAGAACAAAAAAGCACTTGCTGTTTACCTGTCTTGGCGAGCAAGGGCAAGGCCAGTGGGGGCTGCTTTAATACTATTTGTGTCTTGAAACCCATATGCCAGCGTGGCTTGCACAAAATAAAAAACTGAAAGCACTACACCATATGGTCACACTCTGTACAATAACACAGTAGCTGGACACAAGGGTACACACCTATAATTCCAGCACTTGGGACACTGAGGCAGGAGGATCATCGCAAGCTTGAGGCCAGCCTGGACTACACAGTGAGTTCCAGGGTGGCCCACACTACATACTGAGATGCTCCCTCAAAAAACAAAACAAGGGGCAGGGATACAGCTCACAGTGCCTGCCCGGCAAGCATGAGGTAGTGTGTTTGAGTCCCAATACCAAAAAAGGATAAAGGAATGAAACAAAACAGAACAAACAAATAATACACACAGTAGGAGAACCTGAAGGCCTTTGCTGGGAAGGGGATGGTGGGGAGGCCACCATCCTCTCTGCATCCCAGCCTGCAGAGCAGGGTACAGAGTCCTTCTAGGTCCGCACTCCCTGGTCGCTATGAGGAGTAAGCTCTCTTTTTAAAATTTTTATCGGTACCGGGGATCTAACTCACGACTGCCTGCTTACAAGGCAGGCACTTATGCCACTGAGCTAAATCCCCAGCCCCTAGGAGTAAGCTCTCTTGCACGCCACGCCAAGATGCCCGCTGAAGGGGTGAGCCTAGGACGGCTGAAAGGAAGCCCAGTCCCCGAGCACAATGAGGCGACACCCTTCACCCCCCCTTGCTCACACTTTCCCCCTTGACCCTGCCCCTGGCCCCGTCACGCAGGGGCGACCCTCTCAGCATTCACCCAACTTCCTCAGGATGAAAGCACGGACCCTAACCGACAGTGCCTCGCACGCCAGGAGGTCCTACCTGCTGGGAGGCAGAGGCCACCTGCTGGATGCTGGCCACAGGGTTTTGCTGCTGGACAACTTGAGGAAGTTTTGCAACCTTTCACAAAACAAAAAAGCCAAACATAAAGTCACAGAGTTCAAAAGAACGTGTGCCACAAGAAGCATTTCCCCTCCCTTTCTTGTCACTTCCCACACGCACACGCACACGCACGTGCACTCTCAGAGGAACGTGAAGGAAGCCGCTCTGCAGCTCCCTCCTGGCCACGGAGCAAGCACAGCCTCTGGGCAGGAAGGCAAAGACAGTCGCCTTCTCATCTGGGACTGCGGTCATTTTGGCTCTTATGGCCTCCGGTCCCCAGCCTGTACAGACCTGAGAGCTTTGGAGGAGGAGAGAAGCCCTGGGTCCTACTGTGCTTTGGCTGCTCCTGCCATGGCACAGCCCTGAGGTCAGGCAGCCCGGGCGCGGGCGCGCACTACCACCAGAAGAGCACTCATTTTGTAAACTTCTCTCCGCGTCATGACTGAGGCAGGCCTATTCGTTTTCAGACATATCCCCGATCCAGGTCCTGGGGTCCTGTGTGAGCACCCCTCACTCAGAACC